ATGTAAATCAATGGATGTGTAATTGATGTGATTCTGCAATCTGTATATGGGCTAAAAATGGGAGTTCATAACCCACTTGAAGAAAAGTGTGAAAGATGATATATCAAGAACTCTGTAATGTTTTGAACAACCAACAATAAAAAAAAAAAAAAATAGGATGTGTCACACTTAAAAATCCTGGTTTAGGTCATATATGTATCAATTTTAAAGCTTATCATATTTGATTATGCACATTTTCTTTTCTCAGATTTGTATTAATTTTTCTGTTGTCTGCCCTTCATGTTCCCTCCACTGCCATTCCTGAGCATTTAAGGAGAGCCTTTTCCTAAGGCCCCTGATAATGATCAGGCCATCTTGAGGACACCAGCTACAGGTGCTAACTCTGGGGGACCCTTCAGGCTCATCCGTCCCTCTGCCTTCCTGGAAGCCCAGGGAGAAAACAAGCTGGCTCAGGGTATGATGACCTTCAGGACTTTTCCTGTCATCATGAATCTTTATTGGGAGCTTTGGACCTAAAATATTGTCTTCTTTCTGTGGATTCACTCACAAATGCTTTCCTTCTTCTTGTTGACAGACACTAGGCAGTTTTTAATCTACAATGAGGATCACAAGCGCTGTGTGGAAGCAATAAATCCCAGTGCAGTCCAAACTGCAGTATGCAACCCGAATGCTGAATCACAGAAGTTCCGATGGGTATCCGAATCCCAGGTTATGAGTGTTGCTTTTAAATTATGCTTGGGGGTGCCATCCAAAACGGATTGGGTTCCTGTCACTCTATTTGCCTGTGACTCGAAAAGCCAACTTCAGAAATGGGAGTGCAAAAATGACACACTTTTTGGGATCAAGGATGAAGATTTGTTTTTCAACTATGGCAATAGACAAGAAAAGAATATTATGCTTTACAAGGGATCTGGTTTATGGAGCAGATGGAAGATCTATGGAACCCCAGATCATCTATGCTCTAGAGGTTATGAAGGTAAGAGACTTGGAATTTTTTAATCTTTGTGTTCAATTTCTTTCATCTTCTTAGTTGGAATCGAAGCAAATGAACCTGTTATTGTATGGTCTGTAGTAGAAATATTAATTGATCACTTTCTTTATGTTTTGAATTATTCTATGTTTTTGAAGAACATGATAGTGATTAAATGTGAAATAAATTCTCAGCTTTCCATTTTCTGTCCAGATAAAGAGGAGAGGAGAGTAATACTTACGCTATTTGTAATTAATCGGAAAGCATTTCTTTTGAATTTCTCTAAATTACATATATTTTAAAACAATGGGGTACGGTTTTTAGAAAACAATTTTCACTATAAGCTTTGATCCCAAACCTCCTATTCAATATTATAAGGCTGTAGTGATGAAAACTTCTAACCAAACTTTCCTTTTCCTTTTATGTAAGTTATTCCCAGAGATTCCTCAGAACAATGTTCTTCACAAATTTAGATTGCCTAAAATGAAATTTTGGTGAATTACTTGACAGTTTGGATTCCTAAATGTTTCCAATTCATTTTGTCATCCTTTGGTTATTTAGATACTATGATATACAGATTGAAAAAACTGAGGACTTACTTATAAATTAACAGGCAACACATTTAGTTAACTCAGAAAGTGGTAGCAGGAGTAAGGTGGGAACATTTTTTGTAGTTGGTTTCTTGAACTTTTGAAGAATAAGTAAGATCGGAGTATTTTGTCTTCCCTTATCTTGGCTAAATTTTATTCTCTGATAGTTGCACAGAAACAAAACAATACAAAGAACTTGAAACCTTTTGCAAAGGCTGGTTTCTTGAGTTAGTTGATGTTATAACCCCATTTCATTTAGATACTTGGTTACTGTGAAGAGTTATCTAGAACAACCTCAAGGTCAGAGAAGGAACATGTCCTTGGGAACAAGAGACAGTTATTTTCAAAATTACTTTGTTACTGGGATGGCTAAGATGAGTTGAATGTAACTTATCACAGCCAAGACAGAGCATAGAATAAATTCTGTTCTTTGTGAGAAGATAATTTCTCAGCTTTCCATTTTCTGTCCAGATAAAAAGGAGAGGAGAGTATAATTGAGGGATGGTGAAAGTAGAGCTCAGAGAAAAAGCTATTCCATAGCACTGATTGGCCATGATGTAGATTTAGAAATTTTAAGAGAGGCAACCTAAGCAACACAGCCCTCCAGGACAAACCCCATAGAAAATTAAAGGGCAGCACAAGGAAGAATCAAATTTAAGAGGGTCAAATTCCACAGAAGAGACTACTGTGTTAATTGAGGATTCAATTTGAAAATCAGTGCTAAGACATCATCAGACATTTTATTGTAAAATACAGTAGCATACTCCCCTCTCATCTTTTCTCCCTTTACTTCAAGAAAAATATCCATAGGGTTTAGGAGAGAGGTCCTCTTACATTAATATGTTTTAAGAAATTATTTGGGAAGTTGGTTAACAATGCAGATCCCAAGCTTCCTTTCCCAGTCAGATTCTGCATTAGTATATAAGGGCAAGGGCCCAGGAAACTTTTGAATTATTTCTATAAAGACCTGGGTGATTCTGATGCAAATGGTCCATTGATCACATACTCTCTAATGATCTATCAAAACAGTCATCCTGCTAGAGGGTCTAGCCCCTCAGAGTGACCTGGAAGTCCATTAACAAGACTATACATTAGAACTGAAGACAATTTATAGTTGGGGGGACTGGCTGAGACTAGGGATTATTTTAGAATAATAGAATCAGAATTGTAGACCCGGATGGACTTAGGTTATCTGGGAGTTTGGAGAATAATAAGAGCAATTTTAGGATTCTTTAATGAGGTGACTGGGGTGGAGCCTGGTTCTTGTGGCCTCATCAATGCCTGGTGTACAGAATGCCTCAGTAATTGTCCAATAAGCCAACTTAGTCTTGAAAGAGACATTTATTGTTGGCATCTATAAATCCAGCAAGGAAATTTTTCAACAAACTTAAAAAATAGTACACCTTGCCTTGAGGTGGTCTTAATGGATTTTCTTTATAGAATGGAACAGTGACTAAGAGTTGGCATGATTCTTTCTGAATCTAGGACATCCCTAGGTAATTTATGATTTGGAAGACTAGTCCTGTAACTTAGGAAAACTAAAGCTAGAATAGTGTTTTGAAATTATTAGCAACTAGCTAATTGATAAACAATTAATTTTGAGTTAATTAAAAATAGAACTTGCTGGAATAAGTATAAGTAAAAGAAAAGAAAAAAAGGGGGCCTGACATTTATTATACCCTTAATATGAGCCATATGCTTTATAAACTTTTTATTATCTAAATGCTCAAATGTCTTTGAAAACTTTTTCAAGTTATGGAATCTGTTAAGGAAAGTATTCTTACCTAAAATAAATTCTGAATGTCAACCAGTGGCAAAAGGTCAAATACTTCAATGTAGATGGTTGTTATCTCTCAAAGTGGGGATTCCTTCAAACACAGAGACCTTGGAGATCCTGATGAATTCAGCATCGAGTTGTTTGGTTGTGGGTGGAGATAGGTGTGAACTTTTCTAATCCGTTGTCTTAAGCCAAGCCATAATCAACCATGATTCTGCATTTGTTTCAATGTTCTTTTCTAGTTAAATCCTGAGCTTCCCACCTAATCTGTTTGAATTCAGAAAGTATCAGGTTCGATTATAGATACTGAATAGGTCTGAGTTTCTTTCTTGATGTGGATTAGAGAACTAGGTCCAGATTCTTATCCTTCCTCATAATCACTGTGGAGAGACTTAGTGGGGACTGGTCGGACAGGAAGTGATTGGAGGAGATTTAAGTGTTGCTTGTGTGTTTTGGGCTACACAGCTTTAAAGTTATTTCCTATCTAAAGATTCAATAATGTTGTGATTCCAACCAAGAGGAAGGATGGCCTCTCTTCTGTTTTGAGGAAATGCAGAAGTTAATGCTGGCATCAAAAGAACTGACCACTATTACCTTGTAAGGGGAAGGAGGAAAATGTGTTTCAAAAGGCAGTGGAAAAGACATGGTACTAAGTACAGACTGCTGTGGGTACCCAGCCAAAAACTGGGGAAGAAGGGAAAGTTGGACCCCTGCACCCACCAAAAAAAAAAAAAAAAAGATTACCCCCTGTGGATACGTCAAGTATGAAGAGAAGAGTAAAACGAATTCCTTCCTGTGCTTCTTACTGAAAAGTCAATATTAAGAAGTATCACTCACATTTTAAGTGCCAATCCATGTTTCCCTAGCTTTGTACACGCTGCTGGGCAATGCAAATGGCGCCACCTGTGCATTTCCATTCAAGTTTGAAAACAAGTGGTACGCAGATTGCACGAGTGCCGGGAGGTCAGATGGATGGCTCTGGTGTGGAACCACCACAGACTATGACACCGATAAGCTCTTTGGATTCTGTCCATTGAAATGTAAGTAACTGTTTATTATCAAAGAAAGTTTGGCATATTCAGTATTGCAACATAGGGATAAAACCTTTTGTTTCCCTACAGCATTTCCCCCCAAAGTTATTTCACATTTTTATCTCATTGCATTCTACCCAGAACCTTTCCACGCATCATTGCTCCTGTTTTGTAATGGAGAAAATGGTTCATATGGGCCGAAGACAAAAACAGATCTGACTCTCATCCTTGGGGCTTTTTATGTGTATTTAGATGTTGCTAAGGAAGATTCCACCATTGTCCCAACATACCCTGCATTAGATGACCCCTTAATTTTTACCAACTCTCAATTATTTCTAAGACTGTATACTTAACACTGGAGGTAGGCATACCCTTCCCCCAACCCACATATGCTTTACCTTCACCAAACCTTAGATCAAACACAGAATTTAAATGATGTGTTTTGTTGGAACTGGGAGGCGGGATTTCTGCATTTTGTGTCAGCGTAGTGAAAGGGGCTCCTCACAGAGAAAATGATCGCTTAACTTAAAGAGGGTATCATTTAATTTAACATAGCTATGCATCAATGGGAATGGGTAAATTATATGCTTGAAGATCTTTTTAAAATGAAAGATTAGTTGTCCTTGCGGTAATTGCAAAATAAGTGGCACTGTATTTTATTGGTGGCAAACTGCCAGAACATATGGATTCTTGGTGCTCTTTCCATGCTTGCAAATCTGTAAAGAAGCAGTGTAGCAGGTTTTAAGTAGGTGGAAAAGTGCATCAGCGTTGGGAGGGGAGCTGGGGCTGAGGAAAGGGAAGAGGATGGGTTCTTTGCTCTACTTTTCCCATCACATACATCCTTCCTGCTGCCAGCTTCCTAAATTTCTGACCCCTGACCTCTCTTACCTCCTATTTTAGACTAGATCAGAGCAGCTGCAGTTTCCTGGCATGCCCCAGAACTTTCTCCTGCTGCCTTGTAAAGAGGTGGGGGTGAGGAAGAGCATCCAAGGTGGTTCCGGGTGGGAGTGCAGCCCCTGACTTGAAATAGCATCACTTACTACTAAACTTTTGTGACCATAAATCCACATGTAATTACTTTATGCCAAACGTTATTATAAAACATCACAGTTTTCAAAAATATCTTTATTTGTTAAATTAAAAGAGACATCTTAGAGTTTTCCTCACTTATTTGTTTGGATCTATAGCCCCTAATCATCCCATTAAAAGCAAATTTGAGCCAGGCATGCGGGCACACATCTTAGTGGCTTGGACACTCACAAGTTCAAGGCCAACCTCAGCAATTTAGCGAGGCCCTAAGCAATTTAGTGAGACTCTGTCTTTAAAAAAAAAAAAAAAGACCATGAATATAGCTCAGGGCTTAAGTGCCCCTGGGTTTAATTCCTGGTATCAAAGAAAAAAAAAAGTAAATTTGATTTCTTAGCCTCATAGATTGTTATAATTGTCTCTATGTGTAGCTATTCTGGGTGAATGTCCACAAGGGTAGCAACCTTCCATCTCATAGATAGAATTTGTCTCTTTTCTATCAGTGTTTAGAGATTTAATACCCATTAAAGGTTTATAGATGTCTAATATATGTCTGGAAAAAATTGAACTTTTTTTTTTTTTAAGAAAGCAGTACTCATTTTTCAGTGATTGAGGACTTAGTTGGAATGATATTTTCTAAATCTGTTATTGCACAGGTCTGACTATAGCATCCTTCACTTCTATGGTGTTCAAAAAGGAGCTATTGTATCAACATGTGATTTAATGACTAGAATGTGGAGATAAATGATAATTCACTAATCACAAAGAAGACTTACAGCCTTAGCTATCCTTGGATATGTATTGGAGGGAGATCCTGAGTAAATTCATTAGAAAAAAAGTTTTAATCTTGTTTCTTCTAACTTATATCTTCAAGGTCAAATGATATATTTTCCCTGTTAAATGTGAAATAATGGTAGAAGATAAAAAATTGGGGACTGGGGTTCTGGCTCAGTGGTAGAGCGCCTGCCTAGCATGTGCGGGGCGCTGGGTTCGATCCTCAGCACTACATAAAAATAAAATAAAGGTATTGTGTGCAACTATAACTAAAAAAACAAAATATTTTTTAAAAATTGGTTGATTTCAATATGTATTAAAAATTTAAAGCCCAATATATAAATTTCATGTCTTAAGGGGTTTTGTAATGTCAAACTCTATTTCACTTTATATTCCTTTCAGAACAGGACTTTATTTTATATTAGCCTAAAATAAGCAGGTTCAATACAGGAAAATGAGGTACCAGTTATTGACCTAGCGACACTAAATATATGTTTTTCATTGTCTTTTACATTGTTTATTGTAATGTCTCCCTCCATGAGAATAGGAAAAGGAAAAGACTCATTCTCTCAATTCTCTGTAGCTTTCTGTGGGAATTTGAACTCTTTGGGAATATCTGCCCAGCCAGCAAACCTAGACATCAATTGAGAGACAACATTTTAATTCCTTAATTTTAAAATGAAAAAATATACCTTCTTTAAATGAAGAGTCAATTGCGCTTCCTTTATTGGTCATTTATATCCATTTTCTTCAACTCTTACGCAAGAAAAAAATCCTTCTTGATTATCTATTTATTATTAGATTATAAACAACCCTCCCCAAATTTCTAAAAATATTTGTTTAAAACATCTTCATTTTCAAACAAACCCCGAATTGGTTTCATCTGGATGATCTCACTTACGTGGACATTAAACTTATAAGGCCTCAGATCATTGTAATTGAAGTTTAACATTATATAAACACATTACTTATTAACGGATTGTATAAATATATAATGTATCATATAAGCATATAATGTAAATACTAAATATTAATGTAAATACACAAGTATTAAATATTAATGTATTATAAAACACATAATGTATTATGTAAACATATGAACACTACAGTTATTTTATAGGGTGCATAGCTTAGTGGTAGAGTGCCCACTTAGTATGTGTGAGACCCTGGGTTTGGTCTGCAGCACCACATACACACAAAACCATAGAAATTTCTATGTTGTTGTCTGCATTAAATTAGAACATATTTTTCTTCCTCTTTGATGTGCCATGGGACTGCACATCTCACATCACAGGGTGTGGTGTGTGTATGACAGAAACGTCTGCAGTTTTTTTCCTCATCAGACACAAAAGCAAAACAGATTCAGAGTTAAGAATCAAGGTGGAGGCTCAGTGCCTAAGGAAAACAGCCTCGTATCTTAGCAAGCGGAGTACTTCTCAGAAAGTTTGAGAAGTCACATAATCCTTTACCTGTTCCTTACAAATAAATGAGATTATTATTTTACATGGCTTATAGGCAGAATTTTATATTATGGAAGAGAAAAGGGAAGTTTTCATAACATCAAACATACAAAAATATTCCGTTTGTTAACTAACTTCCCAAATATCTTATGTGCAAAAGGCTAAAATAATACTTATCTCATTGGCCTTTCATAGAGTATAGTACTTTGGGAATCATACAATAAGCAAAGAAAAAGATAAGCTAAAATAATATATGTATTTTTTACTCTGAGGGAAGAAAAGCTAATAATCAGCACCTACTACTGCTAAGAGCTTCACCTAGATGGAAAATATTCTAGCACTGAGAAAATGAGGCTCCAATAGCAATTTAACTGAGGTCAATCTACTAGAGACTGGCAGCCCTTGGGACACAGATGAATCGCCTGTGGGAGTCCATGATCTTCCCCTTGGAGGCTATTTATTCTGATAAGGACCAAACTGGAATGTGGCAAAGCACCTACTTGCAGAGAGAAGACATATATTTATTTCCCCTCCCCTACTTCAACCTTTTTGTAGATTGAGAAACTTGGGCTTGTGTCTGATCTTTTTATTTGCCCCACTTCTAGCTCATCTGATGACCCATGACCCAGCAGGAGAATACAGAAGGGATGCCTCCTTTTCTTTCTTTAGGCTCCTGGAAGGGATTGGATGTGATTGTTTCGTGAAATACCCACTCTTCATTTCAGAAGTGAAGAAAATCCAACTGGATTTATCAATAGGGGAAAGAAGATGAAATAAAAAGAAAGAAAAGAAATAAAAAGATAATGCTTCAGGCAATCCAGCGAATAGAACGGGCTAAAAAATATTGTTCGCTGGAAATGTTTCCATGTCCATTGCAGCAAATTCTGTCTGACTTCTTTTGCAGTTGAGGGCAGTGCAAACTTATGGACCAAAGATCCGTTGACCAACGTTCTTTACCAGATAAACTCCAAATCTGCTTTGACTTGGCACCAGGCAAGGAAGAGCTGTCAACAACAGAATGCTGAGCTCCTGAGTGTCACAGAGATTCATGAGCAAACATACCTGACAGGTAATGACATGAAAAGAAAACAAAGTTGTAAGTCAAGTCATAATTATTTTATTTCTACATAAACTGAACTTAAAAGTACTCAGCACATATGATCATAAACATCAGGATATGAGTGGTCCCTGGGCAGATAATTCAGAGGATATGACAAATTTACACTCTGATGACAAAGCCAGGAATGGCAAATAGGTCTTATTTCATAGGCCAACTTTGTTTTATTGGTTGTGACTCTAGAGAGTATGCTAAGAAAGATTCTGAGGATTAATCTGGCTCAGAGTCAAGGATGCCACAATCAATGGGTGATGTCATTCTTGGACACAAAGCCGTGGACCATTCTGGTTAAATAATCATTATTCAGGTCTAACCTGAAGTCAAAATAGAGAGACTAGGGCCACAAATAAGTATGGGAGCAAATCCACCTTCAATTGTCTGCCTCCAGAGTCCCTGCATGCCAGTTTGCTCTAATGCTGCTATTAGATTAATATATCTCCTATCCTGTGACTACCCTGTTTCAAACACCCTTAATAGCTTCTCATTTCCTATCAAATAGTTACTAAAGCAACCTTTGCCTGATTCATAGGCTATCATGTATCCATCTACTGCTCTTCCCCTTCATGCATTTTATCATCTTTTTTGCGGGGGTTACCAGGGATTGAACTCAGGGGCACTCGACCACTGAGCCAAATCTCCAGCCCTATATTGTATTTTATTTAGAGACAGGGTCTCACAGAGTTGTTTAGTGCCTGGCTTTTGCTGAGGCTGACTTTGAACTTGCCATCCTCCTGCCTCAGCCTCCAGAGCAGCTGGGATTGTAGGCTGCATAATTCACTGCACCCAGCCCATTTTGTCATCTTTACAAAAGAAAAGTCTTGTATTGCTTCTGGGTGACATACATGTCCCATACTTCTCACCTGTGCATTTTTTCCTATTCCATTTTTTTTAAAACCTGGAATTTGCAAAATCTTATATAGTTGCAATGCAGTTCTGTCCATTTCCCTTTGCATTTCTCTTATCTGTGTCCCACCTTATTAACAATTACGTGCCCTACTTCCCCCAAGAGTATAAATACATTAATCTGTTATTGTTATTATTATTATTTTACTTATTTATTCATTTCATAAGATATCAGGTACCTCTGTGTCAGGCTTTGTGTTAGGTTCTGGGGACACTAAAGCCAACCCTGTCCTGTTGACATTAAGTCTAAGGGGTAAGACAGACATTAAAAAGAAAATGAATGAACAGGTTCAAATGCTAGCACAGGCCTCGGAGGAAGGGATCTGAAATCTGTGTGCAGACTGGATTAGGGGGGCAAATATCTGAAAAGAGGAACATCCTATGAAGATGTACACCCTGCCCCAAGCAAATTCACACAGAAACTTCCAGGGAGAGTTTCCATGAATGTTTGCTGATTCAGCAAAATCAAATAATTTTATTTTGAAATTCTACCTAATGTTTGGACAATGAGACAAGAAGACAGTAAGTGCAGTGATTCTTAAAAGTGAAGTTGGTTATTTATGATCTGGGAATTTTGCTAGAGTGAAGTTGTTGGTCAGACCTAGATCCCTGAGATTCCAGACCAGTATCTGGCCCAGGAATCTGCATTTAATCCACCACCCAGGTGATTCAGGGGCAGCTAGTTGAGGGATCACACCTGGTGAAATATTGTATCAGCACATGCTATATCCAGACAGCAAAGGGGAGGGACCAAGGGCATAGACTCTGCAATCAGACTTTCAGGCTTGCTTCATTTCCTAATGCTTTTCTTTTTCCAACTGTTTTTGGATGACATCTTTCATCAGCTGGAACCCATTTCTCCTCTAAGCTATTATTAAACAGAGTGTAGATAGAAAAGCAATATGACCTCACTGTGTGCATTCATGAACCTAGAGATAGGATTCCGCTTCGGTCTGCTCAATTGTTCTATTTTGTGTTGGTCTTTGGTGCCTTTCCAATATTGGGACAAAGGATCAGAGCAATTAATATTTACAACCATGAGTAAAGAAGGGAGAAAGAGAAGAAGGCATGGACAGAGATCAATGTAAATTCATGTAGATGATGAAGAAATAGAAAAAGGAGATTCAAGAGGATGCTGGAGTTACCTGCACGTTTACATATGTTGGAGAAATGGGTGTCAGGATTGAAATGGTTTCATTTGGTGTGTATTCTATTTTTGGTATCTGCAGGTTGCGTTTTCTCGTCCTCTACAATTTTTACTTGTTTTCTGGCTTTCTGAAAGTCAAGGGATGGAGCATGGTTCACTTTTTATTCTTTTCACCAATTCCAGAGAAGGAAGGGATGATAGGAGTGGACAGCATCTCTGCCCAGCTAGACTCATATCCTGGTCCCTGGACTCTGCTATCAGACTGGAAAGACAGGAAATGCTTCCCTGGTCAATAAGCACCACCAGTGTGCCCACCAGCGGAGCCAACAAGCTCCAAGAGATCCAGGGCTGTGTTGACTTCAGATGCTTATTTGAATCTTTATCCAAGGGTATGGAATTTTAGTCAGCAGAACCTGAATAAGAGTGACTTTTCTAATGAGATTTGAGTACTTCATGCCTTTCTAAGTAACAAATATCAATCAATCAGAAAATAATGTCTAAGAGGAAATGTAAAAAATAGAGAGAGGTTGGGGTTGTGGCTCAGTGGTAGAGCACTTGCTTAGCATATGTGAGGCACTGGGTTTGATCCTCATTTAAAAAATAAGTAAAATTAAGGTATAAAAAATTTAATAAAATAGAGGGAAGGCATTCCTTTTTTTCTGAAAGAATGATATTCTCAGCAGTCAATATTAATTGGGATATATGAAGAAGAATCTAGGAAATAATGGTGTGCAGAGGTGTTTGTGATACTCTCTATTTGGAGAACTATGCCATAAAAATGAACCCACAAATTATTATACTTTTAAAATGAGGTTTATTTAAGTGAGGATTTTTGAGAAATAAATACTATTTTTAAAAATGAGTAAGCCAACGTGATAATTCTGACATTAAATTCGCTGTCACTTATTGATCAGCTGGTGTGAGCCAGAAATAAAGTCCACACCAACTTTATAAATAAACATTATTATCCCCACAAACAGCGTCACAAACAAGCAGAGAGACATTAGGAAATTTGCTTAATGCCCCTGGTTCAGAAAATAGTTGAACTGGAATTCATCTCAGTCTTCCATTTCACCCTTCCTGTGTATAACAGAATTGACAGGTTTCCGGTATTCCCCAGAGCTCTCCTAGAAACCCTTAATTTACACCTGACCTCTCCTTGCTCCAGCAAAGACATTGCAAACTGGAGATCTGATTTCATAGTCTTCAGGACCCAAAGTTTCTGCCCAGAAGCTCTTTGGCAACATCACCCTCAGCCACTTCACTATCTCACTTCTGTTTTTGCCCTGAAAAATGTTGGGACAACTCTATTAATCTTCAATTCCTGAGTCAGATTTATAACTATGTCTGTGCAGGCTTAGGATTTACAGAACTGAAATGAGATAGAGGAAGCGAAATTTGGTTTGTTGTTCTGAATGTTTTTACCAGTTTCCTTTGGGACTACCTAGAAAACAAAAATGGACCTATATATCGAAATGAAAAAAAAAAGTGTAGTACTGGATGTGAATACATGTTCTATCATAACTGAGTTCAAAAGCAGGGTTATCACCATTTCAGACAATACGTGCAGAAGAATTTATTTTAAAAATAAATTTAGCATGTGAAATTGGTGCTTTGTCTAGCAATACTAAAATATTTGGTCTGCTCCTCTATGAAATAACAAATGCACATTAGAAAAAAAAAATGTGGATGATGCTTTCGTGCTTTAAGTGATTTTGTCTGTGTATATCTGCCTGGTGCTGGGGATTAAATTCAGGGCTCTCTGCATCCTTGGCAAGTGCTCTACCACTGGCTGTAATTCCAGGCCTTTAAGTGATCATTTAACCCAAGATTTGAATTTTGTTTCTAAATCACATCTTTTGCTTAGTTTAATTCAAAATGTAGCTATTAGTAGTAATAATAATGTTAATAGGAACCACATTTATTAAACACAATACATCAGGCTCTATTTTTAAAAGTATTAATTAATTATTCAAGACAAACTTAGAAATACCTACAACTAAAAAGGAAGGTCAAAGGATAGATACTTGTAAACAGTTGTAGTAAACAGTTGTAGTCATTTCTCATCACACCAAAGAGGAATTTACATAAGGAATCTCAGACAAAATATACTTTCATGCTTCTTTAATTAATGAATTATTTACTCTTGAGAATTTAATTATGCTTCTTTTCTTAGCTGAAAAATTTGTAAAATCCCAGAGTAGTTGGTTTTGGGAATAGCTATGTAGTATTTCTTTTAGGGTTACCCTTCCGCCAGTATAGAGATGAATATTATTCAAATTAATACAACTTTAAATAATTTGTTAAAAATTATCCAATGTTCAACAGTAATTAGTAGAGTAATTATTAATATGAAGAATATTATCAATATTATACTGATCTCAGAATATTTCTAAGGTACAGTCTGGTAAACAGGTGTCTCTTCTTGGCACTTTATTCATAATGAGGAGGGACAGTACTCCAGTTGATTTCTTTCTCCTAAAGGAACACAAATACCAATTTAGTACTCAAAATAATTGTCATATTATTAAGATAAAAGGAAGTGGGCTGATGTTGTGGCTAAATGGTAATAGAGCACTTGCCTGGAATGTGTGAGGCACTGGGTTTGATTCTCAGCACCACATATAAGTAAATAAATAAAGTTCTATCGACAACTAAAAAAATATTTAAAAATGATAAAAGGAAGTAATTGGTGACATGAATGATTATAAAATGATTTTAATATGGACTAATTCATTTTTTAAAAAATGAATATAGTCATTCTTAATAGTGTTTATCCCACAGATTTAAGACTAAACAAATATTTCCTTTTTTGATAATGTCATTTCCTTGGCAAAACTTTATAATACATATCTCCGGATTTCGTGGTACAATTCTAACCTTGAAAATCCAAGGCTGAGTCTTCATAGGTGACAGGAGTGAGTCCTGGCAGTGAGCTATTGTTTTGGAAGCTAAAACGTGTATTAGAAATATCTGCTTAGTTCATTCTTTGCTTAAAGGTGCTCTACAATTTAAAATTATCTCAAAAAGGTATTGTAATAATAACTTACAGGCAAATTTAATTTCAGTAAGGATTAAATCCACTGGGAAAATTAAATTGAACCTTGTGTTCCCATCCTGATCTGCTAATCCTCTGCATTACTCTCAAGTTGCTCAGACTCTCTCTTCTCATGCATAAAGCAAAAGAATTGAACTAGGTAACTTCCACATTAAATAACACTGTGCTAGTTCTTCAACTTTTTTTTCCTAGAATGCTTGATAAAAATAAGTGGATTTTAATTAATTCCCACTGATTTTGCATGTCAGTATTTAATTCTATCCCATTTTTCTTTTATTGCTTTATTTAAAGTAGTCATAGTAGGGTTTACTTTCCAGGACAAGCATCCAGTATTGAGGTCGGTTCAGTTTATTAAGCCTCCACGTACTTCATCAGTTTCAACCTATCAGTATCCTCAAGTAGTTCTCTGTTTGTGTACTGCAGTCTTACAGAACTGGGGTGTGAAAAATGTGAGATGACTTTTGACATTGAGATCCAGTGCTCCTCACCCATGTCAACATATGACAGGACTGTGTGTCTCTACAAGCTCATGAAAAATTGGTAAAAATTTAATGACTTAGAATTATGGATTCTGAACTTTGGTGCCATGGTTCAAATTTCCAGTTCTATTATATCATTTAAACACCCAGTTTCCTCATCTATAAAACTTTACGGGGGTGCTGGGATGTAGTTCAGTGGCAAAGCTCTTGCCTTGCATATGTGAAGTTCTGGCTTTGATTCCCTGTTCCAAAAAAACCAAACCAACCAACCAACCAACCAACCAAAGAAACAAACAAACAAACAAAATTTTATGAAGATTAAATGAGCAAATACAGTCATTTAATTACTTTTAAAATTTTTTATTCTAATTTGTTATATATGACAGCAGAATGCATTGCAGTTCATATTACACATATAAAGCACAATTTTTCATATCTCTGGTTGTATACAAAGTATATTTACACCATTCATGTCTTCATACATGTACTTAGGGTAATGATGTCCATCTCATTCCACCCTCTTTTCTACCCCCATGCCCTTCCCTTCCCCTCCCACCCCTATGCCCTATCTAGAGTTCATCTAATCTTCCCATGCTCCACTTCCCAAACCCACTATGAATCATCCTCCTTATATCAGAGAAAACACTTGTCATTTGAGTTTTTGGGATTGGCTAACTTCACTTAGCATTATATTCTCCAACTCCATCCATTTACCTGCAAATACCATGATATTATTCTCTTTTATTGCTGAGTAATATTCCATTGTGTATATATACCACATTTTCCTTATCCATTCATCTTCTGAAGGGCATCTAGTTTGGTTTCACAGTTTAGCTATTGTGAATTGTGCTGCAATAAACATTGATGTGGCGGTGTCGCTGTAGTATGCTGTTTTTTTCTTTTAGTTGAAGATGAACACAATGACTTTATTTTATTTATTTATATGTGGTGCTGAGGATCTAACCCAGTGCCTTACACATGCGAGGCACGCGCTCTATTACTGAGCTACAGTTCCAACTCAGTAGTATGCTGTTTTTAAGTCCTTTGGGTATAGACCGAGGAGTGGGATAGCTGGGTCAAAAGGTGGTTCCAGTCCCAGTTTTCCAAGGAATCTCCAAACTGCTTTCCAAATTGGCTGCACCATTTTGCAGTCCCACCAGCAATGAGTGTATCTTTTCCCCACATCCTCACCAACACTTATTGTTGTTTGTATTCTTGATAGCTGCCATTCTGACTGGAGTGAGATGAAATCTTAGAGTAGTTTTGATTTGCATTTCTCTAATTGCTAGAGATGTTGAACATTTTTTCACATATTTGTTGACTGATTGTATATCACCTTCTGAGAAGTGTCTTTTCAGTTTCTTGGCCCATTTATTGATTGGGTTATTTGTTTTGTTTTTGTTCTTGGTGTTTAGCTTTTTGAGTTCTTTATATACCCTAGAAATTGTGCTCTGTCTGATGTGCAAATGGCAAAAATTTGCTCCTAAGCTGTAGACTTTCTATTCACCTCACCGATTGTTTATTTTGCTGAAAAGAAGCTTTTTAGTTTGAATCCATCCCATTTATTAATTCTTGATTTTAATTCTTGTGCTATAGAAGTCTTATTAAGGAAATTTGGGCCTAATCTGATTTAATTATTATAAGTGCTTCATAATTGGTAACTCTTAGCACTGAAAGACTGGGGAGTATATCCAAAAAACTTTCTCAATTACATTTATATATATATATATATATATATATATATATATATATATATATACACACACACACACACACACACACCACATACATACACACACACATACACACATACACATACATATTTAGATTGGTATTTTTATTACCACAAAGTACAGTGTTTTTAAAAAATTTGTTTTTAATCAACTAAAAGAATTTAAAGAGAACTGGGAATTCGTATCTATGGTTCTTAAAAAGATAAAGGTAATAATGGTTAGTTTTTCACACTGGGAGAACCATGTTGCTTCTGTGTTTTGTCTTGTTTTTTAACTTCCACAGTAGGCTGAGGATTGAACAGAGTTTTAAACATTGTAATTATGATTTATTATCTGCCTAAGTAAAGAGTTTAGAGTAACAAACATTTAGTGCCTTGAATTGAATCCTTCATTTTAATAAAGAAGAAAAATTGACTTCTAAAAATATAAAATTCTTAAAGTAAGTTCTGAAATGATAAGAACTTTCTGAGGTTGAGATAATGACTCATGAACATGGTAGCTTAAAATGTTCATTGAAATTTTTGAGTCATAGAGAATTTTGGCTTTTATATGAAACAATCTTACTTTTAATCTCAAATGGAGTAAAATGTCATTATTTGATGATAGTTAAAGACAGTTAAGTTATATCAAAGTAAGAAGCACATTCATAATATCCTTGAGGATGGGTTTGTCATGGTCAGATCTGGGTTGAAACCTTAGCTAGAGTCTTACTAGCTCACCTATGCTCCCTTGGCCTCAATTTCTTTCTCTTTCAGTGCAGTAGTAGTTCTACTTGCTTTTGATTACTAGTAGAAACAAAGGAGAAATGTCAGGCTTGATATTTATTATTTCTCTTACATTTTGATTCAAGCATTTACTTCTGAATTGAACTTCAGTGTTTTCTGAGTATCTGTTTTATTTTTGGTTTTGCTTCTTGTTGTACAGGACTAACCAGTTCCTTGACTTCAGGACTCTGGATTGGGCTTAACAGTCTGAGTTTCACCACTGGTTGGCAGTGGAGTGGCGGCAGTCCATTCCGATATTTGAACTGGTTACCAGGTAAGGCTAAGCCTGTCTGTGGTTGAATTAATCCAAGTTGAATTCACCAGGATGCTGTTAAGACCTTTTCATCTCACATGAAGATCTCAAAGAGAAGAACTGGGAGACTTCATTGATCACAGTCCATTTCTCACCCTGGTTGGCTATCTACCAGCTAGATTTGAATATCCTAGAACTGAAAGGTTATAGACTGCCAGCTTCCTGGGATAAGAACTTGTCTTCCAGGATTATTCCCAATTAATACATATCTCTGTTTACAGTATGAATTCTTGGCATATTCTTGATTTGTTAAGATATTATACTCAAAAGCAAATTTTATAGCTAGTCTGAACTATAATTTATTAAAGACAGTAACAGATATTATTACTCTATACACACACACACACACACACACACACACACATGTTCTTGCATCCACTTCTTCTTCTCATCATCTCTGAAAGTGTTTCTCACCAAATATTTACAAAATTTGGCAAGGTGGTTTCGATTCTTTGAACGTCTGACTTTTGAATCTTTGTCCTTTTGGAATTTTCTTTAACATTGCAGTTGAAAGTGCTTATCCATAAATTACCTGAAAGTGCTTAAACACAAATTATGTTTATAATATGTAACACATAATGTTACATACAATTGTCAAAGATTTATGGTTTTATTAATTGGGGATTTATTATTTTATTAATTGGGGATAATCCTGGAAGACAAGTTCTTATCTCAGGAAGCTGGCACCCTATAACCCTACAGTTTTTTACATATGTACACTATGAATTTAAATGAACTGAAATTATCCTGATTGACAAATTAATTTCTCATTAATTCAGTTGTTCAATATTTACAATATTGCTGTTACTAATACAAAGACCTTAAGGTCTACATTGATATCATTTTCTGCTGTTTTTAGTGTAGTACAATTGGATTAAAGATATAACATCAGTCACAGCTCACAATATTCCATACTAGCATAAACGTTAATTAGCACTTCTCTTGACAATTTGTAGTTTGATTGCAGAAAACTAGAGTCAGGGAAAGACAAAAACTTCAATAGCGTTCTAATTTTCTAGAGGATATAAAATGGTATGAACTAATTATTTCTATATTGTCATACATACAAGTAACAGATGAGGAGACTAATTCCTGAAGGTAAGTCGTATGTACAAAGCCACTGTTCATAGAAAACAAAAAAAGTAATGCTAAAAAGTTTTTGCATTATTCACTAACACCAACTGATATTGTAACACAGTGTGGATGGATGGGTTCTTGGTCTTATGAATTTGAGGAATAAAATCCACAGACACAAGGGTGAGAACAAAATAACCAGATTTATCATAAATAGAAAGAAAGCAGAGCTCGTGAAGTGGTGGTGGTGGGGGGGATGTCTCAAGAGAGGGTTGCTGACAGGTATCTGTTGTCTTGGGGTTTTTATGGGCTGGATCTGTTCCTATAGGTGATTGATGGGGTATAGGATTCAGAAAGGGGCCAATCAACTCTGTTTTGTCTTCTTCAACAAATCCGGGAAAAGTGATTTCTAAGCCTTTATTAGCACAAGGGTGGGGGTGAGCATTGTTGGTTAGCACAAAAGGAAGTGCTTGAGGTAGGGGTAGATTTTGTGGTTGGCGGTTGTTTGAGCTAGGGGTAGGGGAAACTAAGGAAGAGCTATTGCGGTTGAAGCTTTCAGGGGCAGTGACAGGAGGTTCTCCAGGCCCGAAGTCTCCTTTCAGGTTGGCATGGTCTCATTCCCTCTGTCCCTTCTATAAAGCCCTTATCCTATCTCCCTATCCTGGTCCACCTTTGTGTTTCAATGTTAGTAGCTGCTAGAGAACCTCTATGGAGTGTGATTTCAATCCCTTCAACCCCATTACAGTACCAATCCTGGCTCCTCAGGAAAGAGTGCAACTAACAATCAGTAATGTCTACCATAGGTGTGGAAAAGGAAAACAGTAGCATATTGGTCACATCTTTCTTTATCACTTCTACTACGAACAATATCAAGGCAGTGTGTTCTTTGATATGTTCAGACTTCATCTTTTAAAGCCACTGAAAAAAACTTTTTTTTCGTTTAGCTTAAAAAAACTAAACTTTTATTTTCTATATTGATTAGTATTTTTAAAAAGAGAGAAAAAAAGAAGAAGAAATTTGGTAAAATAGTATTCCATTATATAGATGTTAAAACATGCTAGAAGTTTTAGAGTTTATGTTTTGGTTTAGATTGATTAGATTTTACTTTGAAATTCTATTTTGGATATATTCCTTCAGTGCATGATGGCTGCAGGGCTGTTGCTTTAATGTGTGTGTGTGTGTGTGTGTGTGTGTGTGTGTGTGTGTGCTGGGTATCAAATCTGGGGCCTGATGCATGCTAAGTGCATGCTCTATTGCTAAGCTATACCTCAGTCCTGTTGCTTTAAGCTTGACATGGAAAATCACTTTTATTTTCTTCTGGAATACAGAAAGTAAATATTACTATAAGGGATGTATTTTTTATGAGTGAGGATTTCATTCGTCTGCCTATTCATTCTGTCAAATTATGCTGGAGAATACTAGTTGGGCTCCAATAGATCATTAGACAATAATAATCATATGTTAGGGACTAGAATTTATTCTCCTCTTGGTGGCTAAATTATTGTACAATGTAAAAACAGGTCATTTTCTTTATTCAGTTTGGGAGTAAGGATTAAAATTTTTAAGCACTTGTATTCTAAGAGTTCAATTGAGAGAATTTGGGGGTTAACTTTGGTGAAGGTGAGGGTGTGAAAGGAGAATATTAATGGAAAACATTAGTCCCAATTCCTGAAAAGTAGGTACAGAACTACATCGCCTTCTGAAATAGCACAAGAGATTTCTCAAAGTAAAATTAGAAACTTCGTGGAATTCTATAAATTGCTTTTGTATAAATCATTCAGTCAAACATTTCAATTGAGCACTTAGCAAGTGGTCATTTGTTAAAATACATTTACTTTTTAAAAATTCTTTTACACAAAGGATGAATTAGTATGAATTCAAATATGTAATGACTATTAAAGCATTAAAGACCACTGTTTGATATCTTAAAGTTGGCAGTGGCATTGTTTTGGCAAATCAACGTATAATGTGATTTACTACTGAATACACAAATTACTAACCAAATAAGTGTATTATTGTTTCTTGAAAGTTTCTCTCTAGTACTGGCAACTTACTTGTTAGTTTAGTTACCCTGGTATTTTAGTCAGAGTTTCAACAGACTTTTAAAAACATCTTTATATTTATAACTCACAGTTGTTTTTTCTTTGTGTAGTATTTGAAAATTTTCTGTTGAAACTTTATGGAGCAGGTAACATGATTTCCATCTTGCAGGAAGGGAAGGGAAATTCAGGAATACATAGGTTATATGTACATCCAAGGTCACAGAGTAAAATCACTAGCAGAGCATCACTCCTTGGCCCTGACTTCAGGCGTGAAACGTAGCTAGTGTTTGAAGTCCTGGTTTAAAATTCAAACGGCAGAGGAACTCAGAGCAGAGAAATGCAGGTAGCAATACATGGAACCACTGCTCAGCAGTGTCGTCTCTCTGGATCTTTAATCAGTTCACAGTAAGAAGTGCATGAGGAGTTAACTCCTCAACTTATTCTTCAGGGGGCTGAGTGGAAGGAACTGAGACCTAATTCTGGGAGCTTAGTGTGTTGTCATTCCAGATCTCCCTCCCATTGCCTTTGTCCTTTCCACTATCTTTCTTTCCGGTCTCCTCCCTCTCATTGAGGAAAGTTTCCCTGTGTGCACATTCTCTAGCCTGGTTCTCACAGTTACCCTGGTAACGTGACTTGGTTTTTCAGTAGGTATTGACAGTGTTTAATATACAGGTACCGCTTTGTGATACATGATGTGATCTAGTGTGATGACTATTTAAATTTAAGTCTGGCTTTATTAGTGGACGATAGAGAAAAAGTTATTTCAAGGAAGTATACTTTTATAATCAACATTTTTCGGGATTGGAATGATCCAACAACAAGGCAATGAATAGATACCCATCATGTCTTTTGCTTTGCAGTCAGTAAATATTTATTTGTGAATGTGTAGCAAAAGACAGAATGGGGATCCATTAAATCTCGAGGATGAAGATGTGGGACTGGGGAACTATCTACTTATAATATGTGTAATAGTGCCATTTAAACTTTCTCGTTTTTCTCAAAGGAAGCCCATCAACTGAACCTGGAAAAAGCTGTGTGTCACTAAATCCTGGAAAAAACGCTAAATGGGAAAACCTGGAATGTGTTCAGAAACTAGGCTACATATGTAAAAGGGGCAACAATACTTTGGATACTTTCATTATTCCTTCAGGTGAGTGATCAACTTGATCTGAAGTGTACAAAATATTAGAAGTTAAAGAGAAATAAAATTACAGCCTCATTATAATTGCATAGAATGACTCCAGAGGCCTTGTTCATAGTTGATGGGTATACAGTTTTGATGTTGGTTACAACCAGTGGTTGTAATGTTTCCTGAGTGTGCAAAATCTTTGATATAAATAAGAATCTTCCCAAGCCTTTGGGTTGTTATTATTTTTCACATGTTAAAGAATTGGAACAAGATCCACATAGCACATGTACCACTTGCACTTAGGACAACATTGGAATCCGAGCTAGGAAATAAATACTAGAAGGGATATTTTTATTATGTCCTCAGGGATCAATCTGGGCTCCAGTATTGTTAAATGCAGCATCTAAAATTGAAGTTTTCATAGAATGGAATAAAACATTCAAAAAGTAGTCACAGAATGTTTCATATATAGGCGAGGCCCCAGGAAAAACTTCAATGACTGTCTCCATTATAATCTTATCTAAGAGTTAAACTGCTAAGGTGAGGGATGAATTCTTTCTTCAAAGTGATGAAAAACAAACTCCATTTTTTACCATCAGCTGTTTGTGGAGGAATAACTAATGCTCCTCAGGGTTTTATTTAACTTTTTTTTTTTTCCTGCTTGGGAACTGACAGTGCTGCATTCTTGAGTTCTTTCTCCTTGACTTTTAGAAGCAATTTCATTTATTTTAAAACATGTTGACATACCTAAAAATTTAAAATATGCCAAAAGACAAATGATAATATCCTCCCTTATCTCTACCACATAGTTCCTTCTCTCTGGACAGTCAGTGTTTCTGCATATGTCTATCCTTATCTACGTATAAGCGAACATATTTATAATTATTTTTGTCTATTTTATTGACATGGCAGCATACTAGCCGTATAGTTCTTACCCTAAGTTTTTTTAATTTAATTATAATTTTGTTCACCATCCCATATATTACATAAATAGCTTCTGCACTCATTTTTATGGCTGAATGATAGCCCTTGCACAAACTATAGTTTTTGACTAATCCTCTGTTAATGGATTTGTAGTTTACTTCCAAGCTTGCATTATTGTAAATAATCCTGAAGCATTTACATTTCCTTTCATGCTCATGATAATTCCTAGAAGTGCAGTTGCTGGATCAGAGAGTAGGTGTGCTTGTAACGTCAATAGCTGTAGAGATGGTCAAGACCTCTAACGGCTGTAAATGAGGGTACCAGTTCATGGGCTTGATTGTGCTTTATAGACACTTCAGAATGTCTGTGGACATGCCTCAGGGAGACTACAATCGCTTTTGCATTTCATATCCTCTTCCATAGAATAGTGTAATTCTTCTTTCTTGGAAGAGCTCATGCAATTCCCTTTCAAAGACTTGCAATTGCCATTTTGGGGAAGAGGAGAAAGGTTATTATATAATTTCTTTCACGTGGGAGGCAGAATTCTGTAACTTGACCTTGTTGCTTAACCCACCAGTTTCAGGTTCCTCGTCTCTAAAATATAAATATTAATAAATCTTCTGCCTGAAAAGTGTTGTGTGTATTGTCAAGCACTCAGTCCATTCTTATTTCTCCACTGTTTCTCCCTTGCCTTACTTCCAACCATATAGCTATACTATCTGGATTATTCTGTTATCTACAAACCCTACTAAACCAATGCTTGATAAAGCATTCCAGAGATCAAATTTTGCAGTATTCATGATTGGTGAACCCTTTGGCAAGAACTCAACCCCATACCCTGTTGGTTCTTGCAACAGTACCTTGTTTGCCCCAAATTCCCAGGACAGTCTAGAACTGTACTGTCTAGTTCAGCAACCGCTAGCCACATGTGGCTTTTGTGAAAATAAAATGTGTTTAGTTCAAACTGCGATGTACCACAAATGTAAGAATACACTTGATTTCCAAAACTCAGCATGAAAAAAAGGCAAAAAAACCCCCAATTTTATTGATTACATATTGAGATGATAAAGTTTTGGGTGTATTGAGTTAAATAAAATGTATTATTAAAGTGAAGTTGACCTATTTTATTTTACTTTTATTTCCTATGGATACTAGCAAATTAAAATGACATGTGTGGCTTACATTTGTGGTCTACATCATAGGCAATGCTGCTGTTGAGGAACAGAGATGTTTTATGGGATCCTGCCCCAGAGAACTCCTCTTCATTTTACTTGAGTTGGTTGTTTTCATGTTTGTTTATTTAGTGGTACTGGGGGTTTAACTCAAGGATGCTCTACCACTGAGATATCTCCCCAGTTCTTTTTATTTTATTTTTGAGACAGGGTCTTGCTATGTTGCTGAGGCTGACTTTGCACTTGAGATCCTCCTGCCTTAGCCTCCAGAGTTACAGACATGTACCACTGCCTAACCCAGCTGTTTTCATGTTTTAAAATATATTTAAAGGTCATTTGTTTGGGTTTTAAAGTCCTCAGCATTGGCTGACATTATCTTCTGTTTCTTAGACAGCAAAATTAAAATATCCCACCAGAGGGCTCCAGAGCCATGCTAACAAAAAAAAAATAAAAATAAAAAAAAATTTTTTTTCTTTCCTTCTTTAAATTTTTTCCCCTGTTACTACTGGAAGTATACAGAATCTAAACTGCATTGAGGGAATAGAATTTTTAACATATGCATCTTCTATTACAATAATTCAGCATTAGGGCTTTGTATTATCTATTTTCTTAAATTGAGACTGCACAGAATCCTGGGCTTAACCAAAGATGTTTCCAAGACTATCTGCTTTTAGAGAAAATGGGATTGACTCTTTAAAAGAATGACCTACATACGTCTCCCGAATTGAACATTTGCTAAAGGTGCACGTTTGAGAACATTTAATATCAAGCTTAAATATATAAATTGACCTTTATTTGATCATATAGTCCATTTCTAGCCAAGGTACATTGCAGTTTTAAAGAGTGTCTATAGAATGGTGAAAATATATCAAATACAACTTCAATTTTTCTCCTGTCCAACACTCGTGATAGCTACCATGCTCCAGGCCCTATGTCAGGTTCAAGGGCATACAGGAATGCATGAAGTGAGTCTGCCATCAAGCTTCTTTACTTGCCCCTGGCTCATTTCTATAAGAGTAAACATTTAAAATTATAAATTTGACCATAGCTATCCATAGCAATAATACAGTGCTGATTACTGATTTCTTAACTAGTAAGTGTATGTCATTTGTAAGAACATCATCTCTATTTCAAAAGAATCAGTAATTTAACATTAGTATGAGTAATACTGTTTAAAAATATTTACACGTGATTACTTTGGTTCATGTATGTGTACTTGCTTAAGATCATGCAGCTATGGCAAATTCAGGTTCTGCCTGAAAGACTTCTGAATTTCTATTGCTCTCTTATCCCAACAACATACCATCTTTTGTGAGTGAGTAAATGGGGGGATGGGTTCAGAGGTGCAGGTGGCTGGCTCATGCTACTGTAGTTGCAGAGGCTCTTTGATGGGTCTGCCTCAATGCAAATCTTTTTCATGCCCACCTTATGAGCATTGCCCTCCTTGAAGAATCATTGGCTCCCTAAGGTCCATGAAGAAAAAGGTACATTGAAATATTCCAGAGGATGTATTATGTCAACACTTTCAGGCTTCCAGCATTTAAACTGTGCATAATAGATGCTTAGTACAGGTTTGCTGATGTTTTAAGATGTTGGTAAAATTAGTCTACTATATCTTACTGTGGTCCTGTGACAGGTACACATTTTTAAAGAGACTTCCCCTTTGACATTAAAGATGGATTCACTTTTTTTGTCTGAAAGTAAGGCAAATGGAACATGTCTAGCCTATCATTTATGAATCTATATGCCAAAGGTGAAAAATAAATATTACCTTTATTTGCCTACAACTATGAACTGTTACATATTTAGAATGCTGGAAAATATTATTATAATTTTAGACAAAATTTCTTTTAAGTGCCTTCCAAACCATCTTTTTTTTTTTTTTTTCTAGAAAGTGATGTGCCTACTAAGTGTCCTAGTCAGTGGTGGCCATATGCAGGCAACTGTTACAAGATTCACAGAGAACAGAAGAAAATCCAGAGGGATGCTTTGACTGCATGTCGGAAGGAAGGTGGTGACCTTGCAAGTATCCACAGCATTGAGGAGTTTGATTTCATTTTCTCCCAGCTGGGATATGGTGAGAAACCTTATACTGATAATAAGCTGAGCTACAACCCTTTCTCCTCTCCATCAGTGTCTGAAAAATTAATCAGAAATGTTACTTTTAAATTAAAATTTTAAATTTAAATTAATAACTAAATTAAAGGTATAGATTGAATAGTAAAGGCTAATCATGCCCACAGTGCAAAAACTATATAGTAATTTAAAGGATTTTTATCACTAAGTGGTAATTCAATTATTTTTCTCATAATATGTCATCAAATTATGGATAGTTTTTAAGTATTATTTTCCCACATAGAGGGTGGATTCAGAGATGTCTCCCTTAAAATTCTCAATGATGTCTAACTTTTGGAATTACTTGCATGTATGTATGTATTTTCTTTTTTAAGGCCCGTATTTTATCTCACAAGAGACATCTTTAAGTGCACCGTCTCTTACTTTGGATTTTCTTTTCTTTATTAATGCAGCTAAGGCTGCTAGGGTGTTGAATAGCAGGAGAAACGAACATTTTTTTTTTTTTTTTTTGAGTGGTTAGGTGTTGGCCTGAGCCTTTTAAAGAAATTGATGTCTCAATCTAGGTGAATACTTTTAAAAGTGCTTAGAAAATGTATTAAGCAGAAATAAAAGATGGGTAAAATGAGTTGGGAATCCTGGTCTTGGAGAAGAGCCTGCTAAGAAACAACATACATACCAATCATGGGCCTTCTGCAGTTCTTGTTGATTAAGTGATTATCATTTTCATCTCCCACTGATGAGGCTGCTGAATAGCTGCAGCTGTTCTTCATTTCCACCCAGCAAAACAAGAGGAAGTGGATGGTGGTGACAGAGTTGCTGCTGCTGATGTATACAGCCTGGAAATGGATGGCAGTAGTAGGGGAGAAAAAGCAATTAACAAGTAGATAAGAAAAAACTCGAGTAGTTACAGGAAAAGATTTAAAACGTCCCCAAACCTTGTTATTTCTTCCAACTGTGTCCACTGGAAACCATTCTCCTTGCACGCCTCCTTGAGGGTGGTACTGAGAAAATTGCCTGCTGCTGCCAATAAACAATTTCTTAATTCTTCTATGTTTACCTCCCCTGGGAAATTTAGACTAAGTGATAATGAAATCACAAGGGATATATCTGAAAAACAGTTACTTATCATCATCAAGTCTGCAGACGAATCAGTGGGGGACAGGTAGGTTAGAATGCTCAGGGGCTGCAGTGTAGATCTTGTCTACTTTCTATAACGTGACTGAGCAATAAGAGAATCATGTTTTTATTGCCATAATTATTGTGGGAAGCTGGATGACCAGGGTTGCTTTTAAATTCAGCTTGAGAATTAGTAAGTGATTTAGAAATGTTTTTATTTTTAAAAAAGAATTATTAAAACCAGAAAATATATAATATTTATAATATTACAACATTGTAATACAATATATACTTATTTAAAACAAATGCCAAATGTCTTCTTTGATATAAGGAGAGTAACTAAGAACAGAGTAGGGACGAAGAGCATGAGAAGAAGATTAACATTAAACTGGGATGAGAGGTGGGAGGGAAAGGGAGAGAGAAGGGAAATTGCATGGAAATGGAAGGAGACCCTCAGGGTTATACAAAATTTCATACAAGAGGAAGTGAGAGGAAAGGGGAAAATAATACAAGGGGGAGAAATGAATGACAGTAGAGGGGGTAGAGAGAGAAGAGGGGAGGGGAGGGGGGATAGTAGAGGATAGGAAAGGCAGCAGAACACAACAGACACTAGTATGGCAATATGTAAATCAATGGATGTGTAACTGATGTGATTCTGCAATTTGTATACGGGGTAAAAATGGGAGTTCATAACACACTTGAATCAAAGTGTGAAATATGATATATCAAGAACTATGTAATGTTTTGAACAACCAACAATAAAAAAATTAAAAAAAATAAAACAAAATCATCTTGATAAAGGTAAAGGAAAGTTACAAAATGAAGATTGCCACTTTTAAATCAAAAGTCTTCAGAATTCTTTTAATTTTATTTTAATTATGGAAGAATATTGCCTGTGGATACATTGGGACCTGCACCCATAAGCTATGCCTTTCCCAACTAACACAACTCCCTTAACTGATTTATAAAAATTAGCCTAATGACTTTCCACTCACGTGTTGTATATTTTTGTAGGATGACTGTGCTTAGGAATTACAAAAGCTGTAGGGGGAGAAGAGTTTCATGACAAAATATGTTTGTAGGAGTCTCTTGATACTTACTTTATTATAATTGTGGGACTTGGGAGTTGAAACTTACATTGGTCTTCAACTAAAATCCTTAGGGGACGCATGAGGTCTCTTTGAAACCTATATTTGTTGCTCAAAAGAGCATGATCTGCCACTCCAAGTGAGAGGAAAAGGGGGCCATCCGGGCACTGTCATTCATGCTTTGTGGCTCTGGAAACATCTGCCGGCGCTGGCATGAGGCCAGTCAAGGACTTTTCCAAAAGCAAAGCTGAATGACAACTTTTAGGAGGAAGAAACTTAACCACTTAGGGAATTTCTTATATCATATGGCAATTTTCTCATTTTCCATCAAACATCATCTTTATAATCCTTTGAAATATTTTTAACCATGGAAAGACCATTTATCAAATATTCATGATGAGACTTTCAGTTATGCAAATTAGATAGCTATTGAATTATAGATTCTTTAATTTGTTTTGTTTGGAAATGTTTATTTTTTTACAGGCATGGAAACTTATATCTTCAATTACTGCAACTTTTTCCCCCATTTTTGTTGTGCTGAATACCATATTTCCAACGATGTGAGTGCTGTTGGCAGGAAAATTATTTGTAGCAAACAAGCATCTTCACAAGATAGAGTGTAATAATAGACCTACATTAATTTCATTTTCACAACTCCCAGGAGACATAGTTTGTAATAGTGACAACTAAAAAACTCAAGTCATATTTACAATGCAAAGAAAACATTACACAACCTACAACCGACAACATGAAATGTGGTTTACATCTGAGTCTTCAGCATGTAGGTCAGATTAACACTCCAAAGGATTACATTTTATGACAGTGACAATATCAAGGGAGTCTAGATGTATTGACAAAGCAGACTGCCTTCCTTTCCCCATACCCTGTTGACCTTTGGAAAGCAACCTTTGTATATACTACTTTTGTATTTTTCTTCCTGTTTAGAGCCAAATGATGAGTTGTGGATTGGCTTAAATGACCTCAAGATTCAAATGTACTTTGAGTGGAGTGACGGGACCCCTGTAACATTTACCAAATGGCTTCGTGGAGAACCAAGCCATGAGAACAACAGGCAGGAGGACTGCGTTGTGATGAAGGGGAAGGTAAGGCAACTTTACCGACATCTGGGAGAAGTCAGCAGAGTCTTCCTTCTGTCCCTCTTATTGCCTATGTTTGGTGAGAGTGTTTCCATTTGAGATCATTTGATATAGATCAAAATTGAGCCAAGATTCAGATTTAGTTTCTTGAGTTTCTATCAGTTGTATTGCCAAGTGACATTTTCAAGAAGACCAGAAAGATTTTTTTTTTTTTTGCTCCCAAAGATAAACTTAACTAACCATTAGCTAATATTCATAAGTTCCTATTGCTGGGTCACAAATGGTACCCCCATCCACACAGTCTCTTTACATCTGTGTAGCTGGAGTTCAATTTGCTGTTTATATGTAAAGCATGAAATTTCCTTTCCCTTTTATAGCTGCTGTAGTCCCTTAATATCATTGGATCTTAGTTTTCCTTTATGGAATCACAATTACAAGAAAATAGCATCAAAGAACAGATAATCATTTGTTTTTCTCTGTGCTCCCTTAAGGATGGGTACTGGGCAGATAGGGCCTGTGAGAAGCCACTTGACTACATCTGTAAGATGAAATCACAAACCCAAGCTCCAGAAACAGAGGAAGCAGAAACAGGCTGCCGGAAAGTAAGTATGGAACATACACAGTGATCAGTCAATATTATTTGATATAGTTGGCTTTACCTTGTAGGAGAAATTCTTCGTTCTCTGCAGAACCAAAATGTTTCAATGTTGAAAGTTTTCTTTGGAAATTCTCTGCAGGTAATATAGGGCTACCCATGGTCAGTGGTTCCATTCAGAATGTCATGAGAACTGAACGAGAGAACAGGGAATAAAACTCCTCATGGAGCCTGATGAGGGCAATGATATGAAGGCAGGTCATAGGAATTAGTGACATCCAGATGTCAAGAGTCTATGAACCGAGGGGCTGGGGTTGTGGCTCAGTGGTAGAGGGCTTGTCTCGCGTGTGTGAGTCACTGGGTTCAAGTCTCAGTACCTCATATAAATAAATGAATAAAATAAAGGTCCATCAACAACTAAAAAAAAATTTAAAAAAGTTTGGCAAAAAGAAAAAAAAAAAAAAAACATACAAAAGAGTCTATGATCCTGTGAACTGTCCAGAACATTTCCAGTAGATAACCTCAAGTGCACATAGCAAACTATCCATAGTCACTTTTTCCATATATGTATATGGGACTGGCCTTGAACTTGGGATCCTCCTATCTCAGTCTCCCAAGTGGCTGGGATTACAGGCCTGTGCCACACTGCACTGATTGGTTTGTAATTTTTTAATTGTGAGTTGGGGTTCACTGTTCCCACCCCTACCCCCAAGTGTCATCATCTCAGATGACCTAGTATGTGGAAATTTTTCTGCTGCGTGTTATTTTGCACTCTACTTCCTTCAGTGCCTAAGAAAACCCCCCTTTGTAGACCAAGTATTACTTTAATACTTTGGCCATGGATCTCATACAATGTGAATAGTGTAGAGTTGGAACTGGCATCCATCTTGGTGCAGACCTGGCATTTATTTTCAAACTGAAGAATATTTTTTCTAATACCCAGAACCCCAAGCAGATGACAAGGCTCTAGTCATGTTTTGTTTCTGTGGCTAGAGTTTTTAGTTCTCCATTCACAGAAGGAGACTCCTCTTCATAGAGGGGCCTCAATTCCAACACCCTGCCTCAGGTGGGTGAAAAAACAAATGTTGTATTCTGTATGGACAGGAATATCCAACCCCCTTGGATCTGAATCTGGATTTGATACACCAATAGACTATTTTCCATTTATCTTTTAATATTCTATTTATATTTGGTTCTTGGAGAGTTCCTCTTCTTCCTGTCAAACTCTAGTATGGATTTTTTTATTTATTGTTATGTATTTACCCCATTTGATGTATGGGAGAGGAGCCACATCAAGTTGTGTTGCCTGAGGTTGAATGAGTGCTCTCCTATGATCAGATGATATAGATTTTATTTCACCATTGGTAATTGCCTCTATAGACAGCCAGACTTGCTGTTTCCCGAATTATTTTCTGTGGTTAACTTTTTTTGAACTGAAATCTTAGCCGGTCTGTTCAGTTTCTTCAGTGACTATTTCACAAATAGTTGAAGGACACATAAGAACTGAAGAGAATTACCACCCTTTACAATTTCTTATGTGACAGACAATGTAATACTGGGTTGTTTTTAATATATGATTAAATATATGTATATATATACAAATATTTCAATCCCACTTGAAATGCAACAAAAATCATATATATGTTTAAATATATGCAACAAAAATCATATACATGATTAAATATATGTATATACATATGTTTAATCATGTATATGATTTTTGTTGCATTTCAAGACCTTCAGGTTTATGTTCTTTAGACATTTCTATTATTTATTAATTTGTGTTTCATGATAGAATGATTACTAAAATAATATAGTTTCTAACATATATGCATGATAATCTGCTTTTTTCTCCATTGCTTGATGACATTAATAGGGCTGGAAAAGGCATGGCTTTTACTGCTATTTGATTGGACATACACTTTCAACATTTACAGAAGCCAACCAAACATGCCAAAATGAGAAAGCTTATTTGACAACTGTTGAAGACAGGTATGTCACTATTTTAATTTTATTTTAAAATATAGTCAAATAATGAAAAGTTTTCAAAAAGGCCTGAAAACTGAAATATCAGTATGCTCTAAATTTTTGAGTGAATCATGTGTGACCTTGTGGTATGGCTTATAAACAGAAAACCATTAAAAACAATACTCTTATTTGAATATTAGTTGCAAACATTATAAAATATTTTGCTACTTTTAGTACTATAAAGCAATATTTAGAACAGTTTACTAATAATCTAATGAATGTAGTTTTAGAATTAACTCTTCTCTGATCTACTAAATGTCAAAATTTTAAAACAGGAAAGGTAAGTAAAATTGGTCAGCTCAAAATTCCACTTTCTATTTCTGCCACTTTCTCCACCAAAAAAGAGCACAGAGTGTCTGAATCTGAGGATACAGAAGGAAAGACCAAATCAAACTCAGTTTCTCCTGATAGACACTCACAATACAGAGTGCTTCTGTGACACTATATACCTGGAGATGGAGTCAGCCCACAGCTTGAGGACTCAGGTCCTAAGACTGTCCCCCAGCCTCCTTCAAATGCCACTCACAAGTCCCAGGTTGTTTTACGTGTGCTTCTGAAAGACTGGCTGTGTAGGAGTTCCTTCTTTAAGTTCAATTAATTTGCTTGAATAGCTCAGGGAACTCAGGGAAACACATTTACTGGTTTATTGAAAAGGCTATTATAAAGGATATTCATGAAGCAGTGCACAGGGTATGGTGTGGGAGAAGGTGCATGGAACTCCTAAGCCCTTCTTGCTCTGCTGCCCTCTGGGAGCCTCAATGTGTCCAGCTGTCTGGAAGCTCTCTGAACCCTGTCCTTTTGTGCTTTTAACAGAGACTTCCTTGGCTAGGCATGATTGCTAAAGGACTGGGTGGGAAAACTCAGCAAGGTCTGCTGTTCACAGTCCTCTTGGCTACTCTGTGCCCCTCTCTCCAGGGCATGGGGGCAGGACCCTTCTGGAATGAGGGAGTTATTATGACCTACTATAAGGCAAGCATTATGAGCTTGGAATTGAGGACAAAATCCTCTCTCTCTCTCTCTCTCTCTCTCTCTCTCTCTCATAGTATCATAGAGAATAATTTATTCAGTCTTTCCATCCTTCCATTATTTTCCTTTACTTCATTAATGGTCTTGCAGGTCAAGAAAATAAAATAGATATAGAAGATTTTATATAACGTTTAACCTTTAACGAAAAATCTGTCTTTCAGATTTTACTTATTCATTCTTCACTTAATTCTTTGTAGAGCCTTGCATTGGGGCGCCCAGGAAAATTAAAAGAAACTTAAGAATATCTATTTTATTTGTAGCAAGAGGCAAAAATTATTGAGTATTAATAAACATAAAAAAAAGAAATTATACTTATTGGTCTTTCAAAGCAGACCCGATAAAAAGTCTAAGGAATAGTGCTGATATTAAATATCCTTTCATAGGCTGGATGCAATGGTACATGCCTGTAATTCAGTGACTTAGGCTGAGGCAGGAAGATTGCAAGTTTGAAGTCAGCCTCAGCAATTTAGCAAGTCCTGAAGTAACTTAGTGAGACCCTGTTTAAAAAAAAGAAAAAAAAAAAAAAGACTGTGGATGTAATTCAATGGTAAAAATGACTGTTATAATATTTTCAGTATTTATAGAACAACTGTATTTCAACTTATATCTTCATCTCATGGATAGTTAAATGCTAATACATCATGGCACACTCATGATGCAACATCTGAAAATCAGAACAAAGATACTTTGCATCTTCTGACAGGGAAGATAAACTGCCTGTCTTTAAGTACTATAGGGATGGTTCGTATCTGCACTATCACTGATTTATTAGTCTACTGAAGAACAATGTACAAGATTTCACTGTATTTTATGTTAGTTTTTCTGTGTTTTTGGTGACATTTATATTTAGGAACCCACTAACTCTTGTTGATTTGAATTTTAACTTCTTTATTGCAGTTTTTCCAATTAACAAATACTCTTTTCGTATCAGTAAGCTCGAAAAAGGTCAAAAACTCTATCTACATCATGTTCAGAACCAATCATAAGGTGTAGGTACTTTATCTGCAGGTCTTCTGCAATATATTTTCCCATAATTCTTGAGTTCTGTTCACACAAATTCTATCTGGATATTCTGTATATTCATTTATTCTAGAAATAGTTTTCAGAAGCTGAAATGTTGTAATTCCATTTGGTCTTGTCTTTGGGTCTTGTACATTTTATGTTAACAGTCACAGAATTTTCAAGGAAATGCGTATTTATGTTATTTATTTTTATGTAATTTTATTTAAAAATAAATGCAATCTCTGTGTATGAAACTCAGGCAACATCTCAATGGCAATAAATTCCTTAGTACATAATAAAAGTATTTTTTAAACTACAAAAAAATTTGGATATTTAAGAAAAATAAACTGCATTTGGAATTTGTGTTTGTCCTATTTGATGCACGAAATCATTAAGATGATGGTCAAATAAATGTTCTGTTGTTGCTACATCTCTCCACATCCGTTCTCTGGTCTTTTTCAAGTCAACTCCTTCTCTCTTTCTTCCTGAAAACTCTCTCTTGTTCCAAGGAGAGATTTCTGTCTGTGTTGCCATCTGTCAATTAAGACAAACTTCAGTTGCTTTGCCAAACAAATTGCATTGTTGCCCAGTGATGCCAATACCAGGGATGAGAACGCAAAGGCAAAGTGTTAGAATTCGTGTTCTGCCTCCAGCTCCTGGTAGAGACTGAATTTTTGCTTCTATTTCTTAACAATTTTGTCTTTCAGAGTTGAGACATGAGAAATAAAATTGAGGGAGAAATCCTCACAGATTATTCCATTTGCAACATCTTCAATAATGTTACTATCCCTCTACTTGCTTAATCAAGAATTGAGTGGAGTGTCTGGCCTATTTAAAAAGTGAAATAATTGTTTTTCATTTTAAAAAGATTTTTTTAATGACTTTATTTTGTTTATTTATTTATTCATTTATTTATTTTATATGGTACTGGGGAACCAACCCAGTCCCTCACACGTGCTAAGCAACCACTCTACCACTGAGCCATAAATCCAGCCCCCCAAAATTGAAATAATTGTTTAAACAAACCTTTAAAAAATGAATATAGCACCTTCCTTTGTATTTTGAGGAGGGGTAATGATGTTAGTTATATATGAATGATTTTATCCACTCAGCTCTGTAAACTTACCTATCTGAAGAGGCGATTTTTATAATTTTTATAATTTAAGTGACCTAAATATAACACAATATGGTTGCATTACCAACTACAGCATAGCTCAAACATAACTGAGATACTTTTCGTGTTGATAACTTTAAACATTCATATAAATGTTTCTAAAGATTAGTTGAATATTAATTTTTATTTTAAAGATATGAACAAGCATTCCTGACTAGTTTGGTTGGATTGAGGCCTGAAAAATATTTTTGGACAGGACTTTCGGATATACAAAACAAAGGGACCTTTCAGTGGACAGTGGAGGAGGAGGTGCGGTTCACCCACTGGAATTCAGATATGCCAGGTACGTGCCCTGCCTTTTTTCAGGGATTCATTCATTCTATGAATCCATCCGACAAAACCTGTTACTTCTCCCTTTCCAAGTAGACAATGGAAATTAATTGTGTTTTCAGGAAGTATTTATATTTTACTTTTTTTCCTTTTTGTTTTTTTAAATCTCAATGAGTTTGCAGTGTTCTAAGGAAAAGAAGGAAGAGAGAAATTGCTGGTTTATTTGGTACTGGTCTATTTGAAAAACACTTATGAAATCCTAAGGAGTCACAAATGTTCTGAATAGTGAACTTTTCTGAAAACGTGAACCTTTATTCAATGGATATACAACTTCTCAGTGCAACTGTAAAGAGAAATATTGTTCTTGAGCCGTGGGGTAAAAACAATGCTTATGTGGAATTCATTATTCTACTATCTTGAATGTGTGATTATGTTTAACCCTTTGTATGGCTGAGCATAAAAGAGTAGAATTTATTCAAGGGAGGAAAAAGGAAGACAGAGCTCCCTCAAGGTGAAAGGAGACCCGTTCAGGGTTGCTACTTAACTGCACTAGTCTAGGGGTTTTTATGTAACTATTGGCATTGTATATAACTAAGGGCATTGATCAATGTCTGTGCTAATCAGGCATGGAAGAAGTACCAAATGGTCAAAATCTATGTCAATCAGGTATTGGAAAAGTGCCAAGGCTATTAGTTAGCCTTTGAGTTTGTAACCTTTACTTAGGTCTAAGAACATATTTAGCTGGAATGTTTGTCATGCTTTTACAAGTTAATCTCATGAAGTGGCCTTTACATTTAGAGAAGTCTTTATGTGGCCCGTTTCCTTAACTGCCTGTTTTATTATCCATCCTATCTTATTCCACAAAACACAAAAAATTCAACATCCTTTATAAAAAGTATTTCATGTTCCTGGGTCAGAAGCTAAGAAAGAAAACAATAGCCCAAGGGTGTGTATTTACTACAAAGTAGTTAAGTAACTTATCGATCTAATAATGATCTAATAATACACCCTAATCTCCTGGAGTTATTTTAACTTGCATTCTCCCTCAGCTTCTAATAAGAAAAACAATAATCTGAATGGTGCAATTCTTGTATAATTATTAAATTATTGAACTTTATGAAAAATAATAAGATTGTGGCTCAGTCTTACAGTTACTGGATAGGATATTAAGAACTGAATGTGTATTTAAAAAAAAATCTTGGTAGGAATGGTCCTTCTTACTCTTTACATTTACTTTGCCTCTTTTGCTCATTCAGCTGTAAGATTATGCAAGATTAATCCTAGAATGTCTTTGAGGGGAATGAAAACAGGTCAAACTATAGTTGGGCACAATGGTGCATGCCTGTAATCCCAGTAATTCAAGAGGCTAAGGCAGAAGGATCTCAAGTTTGAGGCCAGCCTCAGTAACTTAGCCAGGCTCTAAGCAAATTAGTAATACTCTGAGAATGTGGCTCAGTAGTAAAGTGCCCCTGCGTTCAAACTCTAGTGCTCCCCTCCTCCAAATCAGATCAAACTGGAGGTACAATTCATTTGCAACCATTGTTATAGGGAATCCTTGATGGAAGGTTGGTGGTTCCCCTTTAGGAAATGTTGACCTCTTTGACTTGAATGTACAGTTTTGAGAAGAGCAGGCAAGAACGGACGGGCAGGTTCCCCTCATGCTAGGATGAACTGATTCTGGGAGTTGGTGGGCTGCTACAGCCCTAGCTCTCCTGTATTCCAAAGTAATCAGGTTCCAACTCAGGACTGTAAAGGGGATGGGATTATTGTAGGACTCAGAGAAATCTCTTGGGGTGTCAGGACATCAGGTATTTAAGAGAAAACATTCTGGATAATATTTATCTTTTTAGAGTTATGAGAATTATATCTAAGCCCTTAAATATCTTTAAAATACCATTAATAAAAAATATCAGCTCATTGGTGCAGCAAGAAATTATGATGTTTTCAGAGCTCTTAGTTAATTACTGTTTGGAAATAACCATCACTAGGAAATAGAATGGTAGACTATTAAGCTTAGTATATTTGTTGCAGAGGGGACCTGCCTCCCGGGAGCCAAAGCAGCCACAGGGGTCTGTAGCCACCAGTTTTTCAAATCCTAAAGGAAGAATTTCACTCGAGTTGCACAGAAGTTTATTAGAAAAGTGGAATGAATGTTACATAGAGTATAGTGTTCTTGCCTTAGTTTTACATTCTCCCCTTACGAGGTTTAGTACCCCTTGTATAACTCAGCAAATACCCTTTGTGAGGGTCCTGACGACCTGGTCACAAGGGGTAGGTGTGACATGGTCTTGAAACCATCATTCTCTTAAAAGGTTATAATTAACTATGGCTGGGGAAGGTTGGTGCGTCAGTTCCCATTTTTCCAGATCTTTGTGTTGATAAGGTCCTCTGTGATTGGTGATTCTGTGATCTATGGACTCTCTTTGATGATATGTCTGATCCCCTCTCTATAAGTGACCACCCTTCATCCTCCTTCCCCCTGCTGAACACAGTCATCATTTTACTTTATGTACTTCTTTAATTATTAAAGCTGGCATTCATCACAGCCCCGTCAGCTAGGCCCTGTGAAGCGCATTTTAAGATGAAGAATCAAGTTCACAGTGGTTGAGTAACTTATCGAAAATCTCCATCCTCAGGAGTGTCTCGTTTTGAAGTCTGTAAACAACTTCGGCCTTGGAGACCTACAAGGACCTAAGGGGAGAAAAAGTTCTTAAAGAACTAAAAAGGAAATGTAGGCAGGCAGCCGGCAGGAAGGAAGGAAGGAAGGAAGGAAGGAAGGAAGGAAGGAAGGAAGGAAGGAACATTAACTCAGTTCTTTTGTCATTGTGGCACATTTGATCATACTAAAAATATTGTATCTTTACATGCCTATGTGTGGGATGTTAGAAATTCAAAATGTTCTAAAACTTTCTACAATTAAGATCATAATTCCGTTGGAGATAGAGACCACATAAATAAAAGACCAGAGATGGTTCAAATAGAACAAATAACGGCTAAATGCTCCAGTAGTGCTCTCCTACCTTGTGTTACCCTGTGAAGGTTTGAGCAAGCACCCTCACTCTCAGCTTGGAACGGGCTGCTGTGGGTGGCAGGCCTGCAGCCGGCTCCTGTAGACTGAATTCTGCTTCATCTGTTTAATGCAGGGCGAAAGGCAGGATGTGTTGCCATGAGAACTGGGCTTGCAGGGGGTTTATGGGATGTTTTGAAATGTGATGAAAAAGCAAAATTTGTGTGCAAGCACTGGGCAGAAGGAGTAACTCGGCCACCAGAGCCCACGACAACCCCTGAGCCCAAATGTCCAGAGGAGTGGGGTTCCACCAGTAAAACAAGCTTGTGTTTCAAGGTAAGCATCACTTACTAAGCTAATCAAGAATCTGGAAAAAAAAAATCTGAAATATCCATCAGCCCAAAGACTCACCTAAGAAATTAGAGAAAAAGAAAGCATACACCCTAGAAATTTTATTCTGATTTTATTGATCTAGAAAGGGCCTGGGTGTCCTTTGGGTGGATGCTAGTGGCCTATGTAGACCAATAAACGCAGCCAACAATGCAAATGCAACTTGTAGAAGTCTTTCCTAACCCGCCTTGTCATTATCACCCCCTCTCTGCCTTTCTCTATTTATCTAGTTTTCTGATCCTATTGTGAGCTCCTAATTTTTTTCATCTTGGTAAGAAGCTTTGTTCCCCCTCATGCTATCCTGTTGCACCTCATTTTTGTCCTGCTGTTGACGCCTAAGCTAACTGAATTGGCAAACTAATCTACAATAGTGCCATGTAGGTATTCAAGAGAAAGTACTTAGGTTTTTCTGATTTCATACCTGATGGATCTACTGATGGAAGATGAAGTCATTGAGAAGTAGGGGCACATGGTCTTTCAGTGCCCTTTAAATGACAGTTCAGTATTCTACTATTATTTTACACATTCCTAGGTTGGACCATCTATTTCTTCCTGATAGAGTCAAGTTCAAAATAAACCATTGGCCAAACAGAAATAGAAACAAAAGCACAGACAAATTAAACCCCAATGAATTAAGAATTTGGGGGTTCTCTCTCTCTCTCTGTCTCTCTGGTCATATCCTTTCTAGGGAAAGTCGCACTTAGGCAAATATAGCAATGTATCTACTACTTAACATATTGTCCTGCTGTCATGACCTCTTTTATGGCAATTGGTCATGACATGCCTTGTAAGTCAGTTTGGCAAGACTAATGAAGAATGTCTGTCAGGCCTAGAGATGTGGCTCAGTGATGGAGCACTTGCATAACATGTGTGAGGCCCATCCCCAGCATTAAAGAAAAACAAAAACTTGTTTCAGAATGAAGTTTAGTATCCTCTAATTCAAGAAAGGATATGGCGAGTTAAGCTGGTCACTCCCACTAGTAGGGATGGAAAGTGGATGGGTAGATTGTCTCATGAAGTAAAGGAATGAAATCCGTGGACACGGGGGTGAGAGCAAAGTGATAGGATTTATTACAGTAATAGAAAGCAAGCAGGGCTCCCAAAGAGGGAGAAGTTCCAAGAAAGGGTTGCCAACAGGTTTGTCACCTAGGGGTTTTGATGGGCTCACTCTGTCCCTATAGGTGATTGGTAGGGTATAGGATTCAGAAAAGGACCATTCAGTTCCATTTTGTCTTTTTCAATAAATCCTGAGCGAGTAGTTTTCAAGCCTTTATTACCATGAGGGTGGGGTGAGAGTTTGTCGGCACAAGAGGGGGCTTTAGAAATTTCGTAGTTAGCTGTTGCTAAGGAGTAGGGGTAGGGGTAGTAGTAGTTGAGGAAGAGCCACTGTGGTTGAAGCTGTCAAGGGCAGTGACAAGATGTTCTCCAGGCCTGAGGTCTCCTAGGATGACAAGCTCTCATTCCCTCCTTCTCACCTCTGAGGCCCTTATCCTACCTGTCTGGGCATGGTCTATCTTCCTGCCTCCGTAGCAATAGAGACCAGTGAGTTGGTCAATCTAGGTAGATCTGTTAGGGTTTAAAGCGTAATTTACATAGGAGAGAATATATTGAGCCAAGACAGAAGGGGATTTTGGATTATTTGAGGGCTAACACAAACTGATCAAGTATTTTATTGTTACTGCTGGGGAGATTTTTCATCACTACATAAAGGTCAGATTCTTTCCTATTTATTTCCTTTTGTCCAAGTGTGGTTGGTAGGTTATGGAGATTTGTTGCAGATTTTTTTTTTTTTTTTTTTTTTGAGAGAAGCAGTGGAATTATCCAGATCTGGGAAGTGAACTAGAAATTCCAGTAGACAATATTCAAATAGCTGTTCAACGGATCAGTATATGTGTTTTACTAGAAATGTTGAGGTTTTAGACATGGCTGGAGTAGGCATTATTTGGACATACATAGACCATCTTTGTAAATATTAAGATGTGAGAACTGACAGAATTCAGCTGGTAGTAATTTTTTTTTAAGAAAATAAAATCTTTATTTTTTTTATTGGTTGTTCAAAACATTACAAAGCTCATGACATATCATCTTTCATACATTTGATTGTGAATGTGTAACCGATGTGATTCTGCAATTTGTATTTGGGGTGAAAATAAAATCTGATATCAGAGTCTACCAAGGTGAAATGCTCACTGGAGACTTGAAAGTCATAGGAGCTACTGATGTGGAAACCTGCTCTAGTCAAATTCAGGTCAAGGTGAAGGTTTTCTCACATTACTTGATGACAGTCTGGGCAGCCATAGTCCATTCAAAGCAAATCCCTTTTCCCATAGCCTGTTAGGGTGATGTGCTTGAAGAACAATGAATGAAAATTATAAGTCAGTGGCTATGATAAATTCCTGTACTATTACCATACTGGTAGGTTGATCCAGATTGTCTCTGTGGATCCCATTTCATAGCTCTATTTGCAGTTCTCTGGGAAAAAAGGACATAGTCTCCAAATTATGACATCCATTAAATGTAGTTTACCTTGTAACTAATTTCTGCCAGATGACTGTCTGTCCTTGCATGTGCTCCAATAGTTGTTAAAATGTGCAAGTATGAGGAAATAAGAAAGGTAGTTTTGAAGGAGACGGTCAATAAAGTTTTGGGAGATTGTGAGGTTATTCATTATTTAAACTAAACAGGATAACAAACTATGGCACAATTTTAGGGAGGTCATTTCCTTAAGGCTTTCCTTATTCATGTTTGTTTTTTCTGTACCAAAAAAATTATATTTTTGCATCTCTATGCCTCTTTTCTCATTTAACCAAATTAACTCTTTCTTCTACAATGAGCTATGTACCTAATCCGTAGGCTTCCAAGATTTTAATCTAATGAAATATTTTAATCTAATAAAATGTTTTTATTTTGTAAGGTTTTCTCAAAAAAAAATCACCTCCAAGTTTTCTTATCCAAACATTCACTCATAAGTTGTTTTTACATGAAGAAAATTATATGGTTTGGGGATATTACAATGTTTAGCTTTTCTATAAATGAAATCCCATCAAAGGAAGATGATTGTTTCTCTTGATTTAATAAGCCATGAAGTGTAAAATGGTTTCTGAAATCATATCTTTAGCTGTTTGCAAAAGGAAAACATGAGAAGAAAACGTGGTTTGAATCTCGAGATTTTTGTAGAGCTCTGGGTGGAGAGCTAGCCAGCATCAATAACAAAGAGGAGCAGCAAACAATATGGCGATTAATCACGTGAGTGGCTTTTCTTTTACCAATTCCTATCTGGTGCTCAGTCAAATTCAGGTCAAGGTGAATGTTTTCTCACATTGTTGAGAAAATGCTTACTTTTCTGAAATCGTTGGTACAGGAAGCTACTTTAAACACCTGCTTGAGGTCCCCAATCCATGGGCCCTTTTTGATCTGCTTTTAGTTCGAATTCCTTTAATTTTAGAAATTGAAAGCCAGTGAAAAATTGCCCTACAAATTAGAAAACACTCAATACACATTTATTGAATGAATGAATAAATCACCATTTTTCATGGCTTTGCAAGGATGTCTTCTCAATGAGTTGGCCATTTTCAGTATATTTATGGGTTGTACCAAAATGTGTATCTATTCTACAGAACTTAAATTTAGTTGTTAAATCTTTTTACGTGACTATTGTTAGCTTATTTATATTTTGGGAGTAACTTTCAAATCTGGTAAGTCCTTATAGATGATTGAACTTGTTTCTTGAAATCCCATTTTTTATTTATGCTTTGTTAGGACTAGTGGAAACTACCATGAACTGTTTTGGCTTGGATTGACGTATGGAAGTCCTTCAGAGGGGTTCACCTGGAGTGATGGTTCTCCTGTGAGTAATTTAATATATCATTTTTTACCTATTCACATACTTATTTTGATGCTATCCTTTGGTTTAATTAAAATTTTTCAGCAAGACATCCTATTGTGATAGTTAGAGTCAATTTTCTATGCAAAATAAACATAATTTGAGGACCAGTAGCCTGTTCTTGGGTAAATAGTTCTCCTGTTAAACCAAAGCAATCCTGTCATTTACTGGATGAAAAAAAGAATTAAAACTCACTGCATCAGTGTAATACAAAATGTCTTCATTCTATACAAAATTTCCAAGTGTTATATAGTCCCTTCTGGATCAGCAGAACTGGGCACAAGTTTTTACATTCCCATTAATAATAGTTAGGGTTTATCAGATTTCTCTATTCTCAGAATTGGAGAAATGAAAGGTTGTGGCACTTGCTGGAAACATTTATCCCTTCTAATTGTCACAGGAAATTATTTTGTATAACCTCAGTTCTGTCTCTTCTTGTAACCTACCAGCAACTTTCCAAGGTACATAGGATGGTTTATTTGATGGCTCCATGGATATCTGGATTTTATATTTATATCTCTGGAAAAGAGTTCATAATCCTTAGTCTAAAACCCTGTGGGCACTGATTACATAATGAAAACTCTGAAGAGAACCTAAATGCAGGGCTTTCATTGATTTCTGCTGTTCATTTTGGCAAAGTTTGGTTGGTCTGTTAGCAACATTTTATAGGTATTTTTCTTTGTAAGAAGAATTAATTGCATTTCTTTATCCTACCCATCTAATAAAAAGAAAGCTTCCACCAACTCACTGAAATATTATCCTTTAAGAGTGGTTTTTAGTAGCTTTCCATATAGAGAAGTGGAATTTTTTTGCTAAGTTTTTCCTATATATAAATCCCACTTTTTGTGTCCCTTGGATTCATTTTATTTAATGAGAGCAAAGGAAATGTCATAAAAATCATTTGCCTACTTTAGTCAACTTCAAAAGTTTCCATGTAATAAAAGCTATTTTTTTTCTCATTCATGTTCATAAACTGCTTTCAAATCAAACCTCTGGTGAAAAAATAAACAAGTGGATGAAAAATGCAAGTATTTCTTTCTTTTTCTGTTTGGATAGATGATTGACACTGGCCTGACACAAGTCATTAATCGTTGCAATCATGTTCCTAATATAGCATTGCGTTTTGGCCAAGATCAAATCTAATATTTCTAATACAGGTTTCATATGAAAACTGGGCTTATGGAGAACCTAATAATTATCAAAATGTTGAGTATTGTGGTGAGCTGAAGGGTGAGCCTGGTATGTCCTGGAATGATATTAACTGTGAACATCTTAACAACTGGATTTGCCAAATACAAAAAGGTATGATCAACTGTCCTCCCCTTTCTCCGAGATTGGAGAACGAATCTGGCACCCCTGTATTTTCCCTTTATTAGTAGAACCAAACAAACTAACAGAATAAAGGAACTGTCAGGGACTGTCACTTCACAGGAAAAGAATGCAAAGATAAGTGTTCCAAAGGAACACAAGATCAAAAAGCCACCCTGGAATCCAGGACAAGAGTCACATCCTCCAAAATTATTCCCACAAGCAGCTCTGATTCTACCCCAGGTTCTACAGTAGCAGAAGTGGGTGGGTGTCCTGCACTAGGAAGCAGAGTCATGAAAAGGCAGTGAAATTCCTTTTTGGTTTTCACCTCTGACCTTCTGCACTAGTCATCAAATAGCCTGAGTAGTTTATTGATTTCTCAGCCAAATAGTCAACATTAAGAACAAGCACCATTAGACCACCCACGTTATGATGATAACTCAGGAAGTTCCACACATCCAAGTCAAACACTGAGGTCAGAGGATCCAGGTTCTGATGTTAAGGTAAACATACAACAAACAAGCAAGCAAACCTACCCTTGAAACAAAAATCTACACCAGCTTCCTTTGTTAAATAGATAAATGGAACTACATCGCCCTCTGCTGTTGGGGAATGGTGGCAACCGCACCACTCTGCTGCTAGGGCACCACAGTGCCCCTGCTCACTGTTTATTTTCCTTACTTCTTCTGTTTAGAGAGTGCTTTTAAAGTTATGAAGCAGAGGAGACAAGGGACCACATTTCTAAAAAGGTCTCCTGGATGCCAATGGCTAGTATCCTTTCAGATATATTATTAACTACTCAGAAAATTAACTTATTTAAATTTTAGTAAAACATACATTTAATAAGATTCTTTGAAGAAAATGTATTCATATTTTATATATAAATAGTTCACATTTGAGTAGTTTCAAATAATGAAATTGTAAGTGATTTCACAGCTAACTATAAGATATCTGACTGGAAAACTAATGTCTATTGAGTGTCTACTGCATGCCAATAACTCACATATTTTACCCCACCTATTTATACATATTACTGATCCCTTTTAGAAACTGACAAAATAAACACTTTAAATGCAGGCTTAGCATTTGAAGCTAGTCTTCCTGACTTTAAAACTTGTGCTCTTTTCTTTCCTTTATAACCTACCACATGTGCCTAGAAACTATCTTCCAATTTCTGGTGTCCATCATTGTACCTAAATTTATTTAAGTTTTAATTAATCATTCTCTTTTCCTTCATTTTCATTCTCTCAACAAAAGTGAATTGGGCAGTGGAAGGGGTCGGGGGTGTGAGTGGTTAAGATTTTAACAATATTGACCCATGAAAATAGAAGGATTTGTGATCTCAGAGGTTCAAGTACATTTTATATCTATTTTTCTCTTGTTTTACAGGAAAAACCTTACAACCAGAGCCAACACCGGCTCCTCAAGACAGTAGGTGTTTCTATATTTTCTGATTACTGTATTGATAGTTTTTCCCCCACCCCCAACTTTTCGCTTTAACAATGAGAATAATTATCCTAGGAGGGGTGGAAAGCAGAAGTTCTTTGAGAATCTCATGTAATCTTCTGGCACCCCTGTATTCTCCCTTTATTAATAGAACCAAACAAAATAGAACCTAACAGAATAAAGGAACCGTCAGGGACTGTCACTTCACAAGATAAGAAGGAAGTCACCAAGCACAGATAAGTGTTCCAAAGGAACACAAGATCAAAAAGCCACCCTGGAATCCAGGACAAGAGTCACATCCTCCAAAAATATTCCCATTAGATTATTAGATTTTAGATTATTAGATTTTCCTTTCTAGAGAGAAGCTCATATGCACAAGCATTCTATCTGTTAGAATAGCTTCCCATGGGCTTATGAACCAAAGAACCTGATTTCTTTTTCTTAAGCACCTGGCCAATGGCTGCTGCTGCAACAGATCACCTCAAACTTGGTGGCTCAAAACAACACATGCTTATTTTCTTACAGTTCTGGAAGAAATTGACCTCAATGGGCCCAAATCCAGATGACTGCATTTCTCATGCTCCCTCCAGAAGCGCTAAGGGAGAGCCTGATTCCGTGCTTTCACCAGCTTTTAGAGCTGCTCCCCTTGCATCCAGACATTCGCGGTCCCTTGCTCCATGAAATCAGCAATGTAGCCTGTTGCTTCAGTTATCATATCACCCTTACATAGTCAAGTCTCCCTCTGTGTCCCTCTATAAGGTTGCTTGTGTTACATTGAGGGTCAGTCTAGAAGATCTCTCCTTCCCCAGATACTTAATTTAATCACGCTTACAAATTCTTTTTTCTTGTAAGGAAGCATCTACAGATTTCAGGAATTAGAACCTAGGTATCTTTGTGGGCCAGTGTTCAACCTCCTATTGCATAGGACTACAAAATTCCATTGTTTGGAAGAAGCCTCAGAAGTCTTCTTGGTATATGAATTCCTTAGTTTTCCAATTCTATCCTGATGTACCCAAGATCATCCGTAAAAAGTTATTTTTAGAATAGGATAAAATCTGACCCCAAAGCTCACATTGATTGGACCTAGAACACCGTGGGTGCACATACGTAAATGCTTCCAGCTGTGCTATCCCATTGATGAAAGTAACACTGGGACTTCTTTTACCCATTAATGACACATGGAACTCTGGTGGGAGAGAAACCGTCTAGTTTTTATAGGGTTGGTGAAAGGTGGATATTTGGCTGACAATTTATTCTATATTTGATATTGAAATTCTGCTTATTCTGGGCTCTCAATGATAGATTCTTTATCTAAGTAAAATTCATTACCTTTTCTCACTATTTTTTTTTTTTTCAGATCCACCAGTCACTGAGGATGGGTGGGTTATTTACAAAGACTACCAGTATTATTTTAGCAAAGAGAAGGAAACCATGGACAATGCCCGAGCATTTTGCAAGAGGAATTTCGGTGATCTCGTTTCTATTAAAAGTGAAAGTGAAAAGAAGTTTCTATGGAAATATGTAAGAACATGATTAATTTAAGAAACGGTGACATGTTGTAAACAAAAATAATGTGTACCCTTGGTGTTCCATGATAGAATTTCAAACTCTGCTGAATTTGAAGGTCCTAAATTCAGGGGGCCATAATGGAAGTGCTCTCTTTTAGAGATATTGATGGAAGTTATACCTTATAGTTTGAATATTCAATGTAGAATTGCGGAATCCAGAAACATTTTTTAGTTTAGACTTTATGAAGATCCATACTTGATGGCTTTGAATTCATTAATTTGATTTATAAAGATCTTAAATCTTAACTAATTATTCTATATCACTCCTGGATTCTTTTTATGTCATCATATATTTTGGTTATTAATTTTTCAAAAATCTTATTTGAACCAAATTGCTGGCTAACAGATAGTATAGTATGATTATTCATGCAAAAAGCTTTCTTGGACTCCCCAAATTGTCAGGTATTGCTGAAGATATAGTTTATTTTTTTGAAGAGTGCTTAGCTCAGGGTCTTTCTTATTAAAAATATTCATGGCACCCCTAATTGTTTACAAGAAAGGAGGTAAGAGGGATAACAAAAAACAAGTTGATCTGTACTGAAAGGAAAAAAAAAATTCATTTGAAAACATTGGCATGAGTATGTAATCTGACTATAATATTACATATATATATATATCATGTATTATATATATTAAACCCACATATTAAATGCATGTAGTATGTATTAAATATAAATATAATATATAAATATATAATTTGTAAACCTATAGACATATATATTACAAATATAAATATATATATTTGCTTTGGTAGCCAATCTCCACTAGCTACTTTGTTTTAAAAGGTGTTTTCAACACCTAACTATTATGGACATTTGATATTATGGTGAATGACTTAAGAAATTTTCTTTATAAATGTGGGTTGCTAAATTGTATGTATATCTTCTTTTTATTTCTATGAAAAGTATACCTAAACATACACAACATTTCCTCATGAACCTTAGAAAATATTCCAAATAGACTTGTTAACATGTAGGTTTTATTTAAGAACTTGATTATTATGTGGTCGTGAATTGAATTTTATGTAAAATTTTATGTTCCAGATAAACAGGAATGGTGCACAGACACCATATTTTATTGGTTTATTGATCAGCTTGGATAAGAAGTTTACGTAAGTAAATCAAGCTAAAACAACTTTTTTTAGGATAAGTTGTTTTGGGTTTTGCTTGCTGAATGCTTTTTAAAAAAAATATACAATATTTTTGGTCTGAAAAGCATCCTTAGAAAAGTAAAAAGTAATTATAAATGATCCTATTAAATATTTTCATTGTTACAAATTCTCAACTAAAATTGGATTTAATCTTGCAAAATGTAAACTTTCTATCTTTCAGCCACCAGTAAATCATTGACTAGGAGATTATATTAGATAGATATTAATACTAAATTTATTTAAAAAATTATGATCCCATTAGATTAATGGCACCTAGAAACAAAGGATCCTTTTCTGACTGCTGATCCACACCAACTGCTCAGCTGCAGGATTTTGAATACTCTTTCAACTGCACAAAGTACTTTCCTTTCAAAACAATGATTGTTCTGCTTTTTGTTGGATAGAGAAGCCAAGAAAAACTGTGCAGGAGGGAAGATATTAGTACAGTTTTGGGGTTTCTTTTCTTATTTATTAATACGTATCTGAATTTGAAGAGGAGATATGGCCTCCCGGCTTATGCATGAACATCTTAGCCACATATGTTCCATGGGATGTTTATTAACTTATTTGAGCAAGGGACGTAACTTCAAGCTCATTATTTTTAAAGGACCTACTTTATCATCTCTAAAATGAGAAGGCAGGGTCTGATGATTTCTTTTCCTCCCAGCTCTCAGTCTTTGCGTTTCTATAACTTAGGCAAATAGGCATTGGCTCATCTACCTTACAAAGAACCAGAGTGGCCATAATACTCAAAGAATGGGCCTAATGAGATATTCTATATTCTCTGCCTCTCTATGGGTGGTTATGTGGGAATTGTGCCTGAAAGGTACTGTGGAGGGGTTTCTGCTTCTGGCCAACTTCCAGAGCAATTGGGATCTTCATTTCTTTTCCTACTTCAGGCCTAAAGGTAATTTCTTTCCAGGGAAGCGAAAGAAGAGGGGGGAAAAGTATTCATCATTCATATCTCTCTAACACATTTTAGTGGACAATTTACTAATGACTGATGATATACTAAAACAAAGATAGATGATGTTTTATAAGATTAAATCCAATTTGATATTGTTTGTGAATTTGACCCAGAGGCATGAGGATTGCTATAGAGGGGCATGGTGCCAAGGGACAACCAAGTGCCTGGGCCCTGAGATTTTCCTGCTAGTGTCTCTGGGTTCTTTCTTCTATTTGCTTCTTTCCCTTTGATTGACTTGCCATTTCCCATCTCCAGGTTGTAGCCTATTATGTTACTGAATGAATTGTTGCAAAATGTTTGAATTTTCTTTTCCAGTTGGATGGATGGAAGTAAAGTGGATTATGTGGCTTGGGCCACAGGTGAACCCAATTTTGCAAATGAGGATGAAAACTGTGTAACCATGTATACAACTTCAGGTAGACAACACACAAATCTTCTGGAGTTTGTTTTGTGCTGTTATGTGTCATTTCCTACATCCTTAGGGTGAAAGTAGCAAGTGTGCACTTAAGTCAAGCAAGAAAACAGGACTGTTCTAATCTTAGTGGCATAGCTATTCAATTTATAAAGAGAAATGTGTAAGGATGCTTACCATTTAACTAATAAATGATAGTCAATCTTCTCATTTCTTCCCCATTTTAAAAACATTTTTTTTCATGATCTTACTTGTGACAAATATCCAGAATATGTTTATCTATCACCTTTATCTCTTTTTCTAGCTCCTTTATTTATTGCTCTAAAATGGGAATAATGACCTACCCTGATTTTTGTGAGATAATGCATCTAAAATTGTACAGATGCTTAGATATTATTAGTTTGTTATTATTAGTAGTGATTGTTAATTAGATAATGTATCTGCAATACCAAGCACATGCTTGGTTCATAGAAATCTCTACAAAGTTGAACTATTATTGGTCTAAGGCATATTACATGGATTCTTCTAGTCACTTGTGAAAAAAAACCCCATTTGATTATATTCATAGAAATCTCTATAAAGTTGAACTATTATTGGTCTAAGGGATATTACATGGATTCTTCTAGTCACTTGTGAAAAAAAAACCCATTTGATTATAAACATGTAAGTCTAATTTAACTATTTTGCTCTTTGCCAGGGTTTTGGAATGACATTAACTGTGGCTATCCAAATGCCTTCATTTGCCAACGACACAACAGCAGCATTAATGCCACTGTTATGCCTACTTCGCCCCCGAGTCCAGGTGGCTGTAAAGAAGGTTGGAGTTGGTACAATAATAAGGTATTAGGAGAATTCTTTGTAGTCTTGACATCAATCAACATGGACAGTGACAATGTAAATCTCTCAGATCAAGGTTAATTTTTGCTTGCTCAGCACTTTAGGAAATTTTTGGCAAGTATAACTGAAGGTTCCTATGACAGATTCTCAATAGAGCTGGAGTTGTGGCTCAGCAGTAGCACACTTGCCTGGCCTGTGTGAGGCACTGGTTCGATTTTCAGCACCACATATAAATAAATAAATAAATAAATAGAGGTCTATCAACAACTAAAAAAATATTTTTAAAAAATTCTCAATAGAAATTGAGGACATACTTGAGATATCTAAATCATTGTATGCTTTATCTCAAGGGAGAATAACATTTTGCAAAAAGCTGCATAACCATAATTTTTAATCCCTATTTGGTTGTTAATAAAATTTGTATTTAGCTCTAATCTTTTACATATATAGTGTCCATCTACAACTATATATATATATATATATATATATATATATATATATATATATATATATAAATACTTTCACTTTTATATGTTTGTTTTTATGTGGTGCTGAGGATGGAACCCAGTGCCTTACATGTGCAACCAAGTGCTCTGCCATTGAGCTACAACCCCAGCCCTTTAGTTCTAAGCTAGATGAATAATTTTGATTTCCATAGAGCAAACTTTATTATCTTTAATTAACCCCTGTTTTTCTCCTTCCATCTCAGTGTTTCAAAATCTTTGGATTTGCTGAAGAAGAAAGAAAAAATTGGCAAGAGGCACGAAAAACTTGCATAGGATTTAAAGGAAATTTAGTATCCATACGCAATGAAAAAGAGCAAGGTATGCAGGCCATTTCCCAGTCATGGATAAGAATTTAAGTATGTAAGTTTGCTCATGGAATGGTAAGATCACCGATTGTATCTTTTTGGTTTTTCAGAGTAAAAACCAGTAAGGGGAAAAGGAAAAAAACCCACCACAACAAAACTTATTTAAAATGATTTTATTCAGTTGTAGGCATCATGCTGGGTCTTTTACATAAATCCTTTTCCATTTTCATAGCCACTTCATGAAGCAGGAATTATTATTCCAGTCGGAGAGTGAGGAGATGGTGTTCAGAAAGCCTTGAGTCAGGGAACTTGCCTGGTAAAAGTGAAGTTTGACATCAAACCCAGCTTCAGTCACATGCCGATTTCACTAAATCAGTTTGTTTCCCAAAGAGCCAAGGATAAGTGGTTCCAAGAATAAAAGAAAAAAATTGCCGATTTCCCATTTACTTCTCCTCTAGTCACATGATCCTATAACTTATAATATAATAAAATGGAGAAATGTGAACTATGAACAATTTAGAAATTTTTTTTTGATAAAATGTGAGGATAAACCAGAGCAATGAAGTGCATCAAAGGACAGACCTTGTCATGTCCATATAGCAGATGGTAAAATTCATTCTACTGTCATCAAAGATAGGTACTGAATCACTTTGTGTGGTCTTTGGCGGGGCTGCTTTGCTAAGATAGGTATTAGGTTAAATTTGTGATTTATACTTTTGCTTGTTTAGTTTTTTTATGTGGTGCCAGGGCTCGAACACAGTGCCTCATGCATGGTAGGCAAGCACTCTACCACTGAGCCACAACCCTAACCCAGTGATTTGTACTTTTTAAGGAGGATGTTGACCAACTGCAGGAGATTCAGACTAATGATAAAGGGTTTGGAAACCACTGCAAGTGACTCATGAATAAAAGACCCTGATGTTAGACAGTTTGGAGGATTATCCTGAGCAGCTCTGGAAGGAAAACCTAGGACCAAGGAGTGGCAGTTACAGGGAAACAGATTTGGGCTCAAAATGAAGAGGCCATCCCAATAGCAAGAACTGATCAGATAGGAGGCTTCATGAGGAAGCTGAGGTTTCCCAAGGACACAAATGCTTAAACTGGAGGACATTCAGGTGCATATGACAGAGCCAGATGTATTGGCTGCTACACAGTATAGGAAAGAGGTTCATTAAATGTTTGTTGTATATATACATTTCTGAGGATGTTATAGGAAAAAAAATATAGACTGGATATTCTCTCTATTTTTTTTTTTTAAAGAGAGAGTGAGAGAGAGGTAGAGAGAGAGAGAATTTCAACATTTATTTTTTAGTATTTGGCGGACACAACATCTTTGTTTGTATGTGGTGCTGAGAATCGAACCCGGGCCGCACGCATGCCAGGCGAGCGCGCTACCGCTTGAGCCACATCCCCAGCCCTCTCTATATTTTCTTTGTTCTGAGATTCTTTGACTTCCCAAATCACTTACTACCAAAAACTGATGTTTTCAAAAGTATAAGAAAGAAGGAACTAGAAACCTGCCTGGTGCTCTCCCCGTGTTTAGTGTATAAATGCTGTCATGCGCTCTTCTAGAACAAATTGTACCACAAACCAACCAAGCATTCAATGAGAATCTTTGACAAGTTCAACAACTTGCCAGACACCCAAAGAAAAGGGTCAAACCACAGGACACGTTACAAGAATATTACATTCACATTTCTCTAACTGGCCTCCACATTTGGGGCTCAGCTACCCAGCAGAGGAACACAATAATGGATTTCCTCTCTTAACCACAAAGTGCTGATTCCTGGCATAACAAAATTAGAACGTGGGTAATAGAGATGTACAGAAGGAAACAATTTTCAGATAAAATAACATTATTCCTGGCAAAACAGGCACACATTGTTGAATTCTTATAGTGGCTGTTGGCAATGAAAAAAGTCGGATTGAATATTGGCAGGTGGAACTTTTCCACATTTCATGTCAAGTTGGGAAGAAGGCAAAAGTTAGGATCTTATTCATGAAGCAAAATAAAACCAAAGTAAATATCTGCCCATGCTCTTGTTTCTCTGAAACATGTCGGAAGAAGTATTTTTTTTTGTTATTGCTTTTTTACCTTTAGTTAATTGAGAAAAAAATTAAGTCTCTGGGTAAGGTGGTTGTTGCCTCTACCTCTCTGCAAAGAGTCAGCATATGACAATGGCGGTTCCTTGGGACTGTTGGTTCATCAGTAAACAGGCCAATGTATCTCTGTAGACTTCGAGTGCATTTTCTATTAGTAACCGCAAGCCCTTAGTCATTTCATTTCCAATTTACATTCAGGAGCCATGTTCAAGCATAAATGTTTGCAGACTGCTTTTGAGCAAGTCTCATCACCTTAGAAACCAATGGTTCGGGAACAGTTGCTGGCAGCAGAAGGCAGCTGATGCAATCAGTGGGCATGGGCTAATGGAAAGGAATGGGGCACATGTGCATTAAACCTTTTTATAGCTCCTGGGTATTTACCGCTGTCCTCTCTGCCACAGAACTGATAAAGGAACAAGAACCACATTGTACTACATGATCTGAATTTATCTAGATCTCTTTACCCAATGATGGAAACATTGCAGCCTCCGATGTGATCTGTTCCAAGCACACTCAGCAAATGACCACCAATCCCTAGGAGTTGCCCATCCAGAAGGAAGCCCACTTGGGTTGCTCTTTGCCTTCAGCAATCCGAGATACAGCTAGTTTGAGAACCTAATGCTTCTTATTTCGATTTTTGGAAGTTTTCTGGATTAAGAGCCTTCTCTTCCATAGTGGTTATAATTGGAGTGTTTTATTTTCGTGATTAGGAGAGCTACTAATTCATAGGATGACATTTTATGAATTTTTAAAAATATGTACCTCTTTCTGCAGGATGGTAGGGAACCACAACCCAAATCAAGGTGTACAACAGGGGAGTGGGGCATGGGATGAACTTCAGCCTCCTTTGAGTCCCTCACCCTGGTGCCTTGCCAGTAGCCTTGATAAAACCTAGTCTTTTATTGTAGGAAACTTTTCAAAGTCCAAAGTTCAGTGGCTAACATGATACTAAGGTTAGAATGTGTTTATTTTCATGGTAAGTGCTTTTAAATAATAATAAAGTCTTGAACACATGTTCTGTATTTTAAAATGAACATATTTAAAAATATTTTCTATATTTTGAGTGTTAACCCCTGAGGTTTAAAATCAGTTTTTGAAACTTTCTTTTAGCATTTCTTACCCATCTCATGAAGGACTCCACTTTTAATGCCTGGACTGGGCTGAATGATGTGAATTCAGAGCACACGTTCCTTTGGACAGATGGGCGAGGAGTTCATTATACAAACTGGGGGAAAGGTTACCCTGGTGGAAGAAGAAGCAGTCTTTCTTATGAAGATGTAAATATGACTTTCAGATCACCTCTCTATGCACTATCGGGCTTCAGTAGAGTCATCTTATTATTGATTAACCTCCCATGGTAAAAAGTCTACAAGAGTACTCTTTAATTTGGTCCATTCTTAGAGCTTTTAATTATTTCAGACCTTGAGGAAGGGGTTTCTGTTTGGTTGGGAGCTCTTTGCCTTGAGGGATGGGTGACAGTGAGCAGTAGAAAAATTGGCTTTCTAATAAGAAGGGATTGCTGGTAGTAACACTTGAACCCAAGTTTTATCAACTTTCTTTCCATTAGCTGTCCGTTGCCCCTTGCAGCTGTTGTAGTATTTGGGGTGCAGGTCTGGAAGCTACTATTGCTTCTAAAGATATCATCAGCATCATCGGTATCATTATTGAGCTCCTATTTACAGGAAGTTTTATGTGCTAAACACTGTGCTAAGTGTTTTTGTACATGAACCAAAGACTATCACTTCTTTATTACTTTTATTCTTATGTAATAGAACTGTCACCATGCTGGTGTCAAACAACTGCTAGGAATTGTAAAAAGCATGAAGAAATGTATGATTTTGTTTTTACCTTTAAAAGGCTTGCACTTAAAACCACAAGATTTTTGGAGTAGAGCAGAGACTGTGAGTCGGGCTAATGGAAGAAAAGAAGAACTAAGATTGTGGATGTGGATGGGTGGAGAATCTTTGGAATGTAGGACTTAAGGGTATGGGATAGTTAAGGCTCATGGGACAAGGATGCTGTCAGAAGGGAGGTTGACAACATAGCTGCATGATAGTGGGATCTGCCATCAGCTGTGACTCAGGAAATGGGTTAAAGCTATGTTTACTTCACAGGGACACTTTCATCATTTGCATTGTTTATGAACTACAATCACATTTAAAAAAATTAAATTGGTATATCATCGTTGACTTAGTATCTTTGATAGAATTTTCTTTAATTTCTAAGAATTTGGAGATTTTCTAGCTAATAATGATTTCTGGCTAATTCCCATTATAGTTTAGTGTGTCCGATTTCTTCTCTTTTTTAAAAAATATTTATTTTTTAGTTGTAGTTGGACATAATACCTCTATTTTATTTATTTATTTTTGTGTGGTGCTGAGGATCGAACCCAGGGCCTCACATGTGTGAGGCAATTGTTCTACTGCTGAGCCACAACCCCAGCCCTAGTTTCTATTCTTTTAAATTTGTGAAGGTATGTTTTCTGGAGTGAAAGACAGAGAAAGAAACAGAAAGAAAGAAAATGCACACTCTGCATTTTTCCTATATTTGAGGTTAAAAAGGAAAAGGAAATGGAAGGAAGACAGAGGTGGAAGTTAAATGATCCAAAACTCACTTTCTGAAGAGTTGGGCTGGGTGGAGCCAATGGGGTAGTCCATGACCTTGTACTTAGGTGAAATTTCAGAAGCTGGCCACTGCATTCATGTCCTCAAATACCTTTATGTGGTTAGGAGGCTGCAGCACCAGTAACTCAGTTCTATGGAAGGGTGAGTTTATCTAGACGGATGTTGTAATCCATAAACACAAAACACACACACACACACACACACACACACACACACAAGCACACACAAACACACCCATACATACACCAACCAGTTTCAACACTAAGAAATATGGATTTTTTTTCCTTGACTGAAAGTCCAGAGTCTGAAAGACTAATTACAGTATTTCATTATATCTAAAGTATAATACCTAAGGTAACATTGATTGAAAAATTCACTGTTATTGTATGTGCCACTCAAAAAGAATAACTGCCAGTTAATCTCTGATGTGCTGCCGACTATGATATGCATCTTTTGTTTAGAAATGTTAATATGTGAAAAATATGCATCTTGAAATTTGTAAAGTATGATACATGGTTCACTATCTCCTTGGCATGCTGGTAGATTAGGAAAGTTCCTGGCATTACATCCAATCTTCCATTCCTTTGTGGCTCTTTATCAGCAAGAAGCCCTTTCCCTGGCAGCTCTCCTGCCTCCAGGGCACTTTACATATCTCACTCTTTGGAAACCAGTGAAACTTGGCATTAATGTGTAGGTTTAAAGCCTAAGTGCCTGAGTTTGAATGCTAACTTTTTTATTTATTAGCAGTGTGACCTTGGGACCAAAATGTGACCCTGTGCCTCAATTTTATCATCTTAAAAATGGGCACAATAATAGTACTTACCTCACAAGATGGGCGGGAGTTTACATGAATTAATACGTGTCTAGCACTTAGACCAGTGTCAAACATTATGAATGTAAACTGTAGTCATTACAATGTATAGGTTAAAAAAAGCCAATGGCAGGTACAGATTTCATGAGACTTTTTTGGTTTACTTTTGATTGTTAAACTATTCTATGGAATCTTGGAATTAAAAACACATTCACAACTAAACAAATGGAATATATTTACAGCCCTGTCATACTCCCTAGTAAAATTACAAATAAGATGTGAAACTTTCTGGCTGTACTAACAATTTGTTCTGAAACTGAAATAATACTTTTATAAATTAAGTTAGTGATGAACAATAGGAATTGTACTCATTTCCCTTTAATCATAGGATACCTCCTTCTGGGTTTGTATAATGAGAATTCATATGGGGAAGATACTGTGTTCTCATAGTAACTTTGATTCCTAAGTTTTCGTAGCAATTAATAACATTTCTGATAACAAAGTTTCAGGCCTGTCTCTAAAATTTATCCCAATCTGTTTGGTTTTCAAATCAGAGAGCAAGGGTTTAAATGTGAGGGATCTACATAGAACATGGGTACAATTGGTTGGAAAGTAATGATGGACTGAATATACTGTAATGAGGACAACCTTAAAACTCCACAAAGTTAAGAATACCAAGGGACTTTTTTTTTTTTGCTTATTAATGAGCTGTTTTAATAGTTATTAATTCATACTTCTTTTTTTGCCTCTTAATAATTTTTTATTTTGTAATTTAGTATTTTATAACTAATAAAGGTAATTCATATTAATTACTCTATTTTACCCATACAACCATTCTATATGAATAATAATATTCTCATAGAAATTGGTAATATATTTTAATTAGTTAATTAATTAATTATAATTAGGTATATATGGCAGCAGAATGCATTTTGATTCATTGTACACAATTGCAGCACAACTTCTCATTTCTATGGTGTTACACAATGTAGTGTCTCACCACATGTGCAGTCATACATGTACCTAGGGAAATGATGTCCATCTCATTCCACCATCTTTCCCCCATGCCCCCTCCCCACCTCTCCCTCCCTTTTGGCTCATCAAAGTTCCTCCATTTTTCCCATGGTCCTCCCTATTATGGATCAGCATCCACTTATCAGCGAGAACATTCACCCTTTGGTTTTTTGGGATTGTCTTACTTTGCTTAGCATGATATTCTCCAACTCCATCCATTTACCTGCAAATGCCATAATTTTATTCTCTTTTAATGCTGAGTAATATTCTCTCTCTTTTTTCTTTATCCATAAATATACAGGCCGACTGTGTTGTTATCATTGGAGGCAAATCAAGAGATGCAGGAATGTGGATGGATGATACCTGTGACAGTAAGCGAGGCTACATATGCCAGACTGAGCCTGGTAAGTCCTGCCAAGCCTCACCTGCCTGTGGAAGAAAGGGTTTAGAATGTGTTTTGAAATACTGGACCATTTTTGCACATCAATAGGTTTGTTTGTTTCTCGCTTTAATCCATCTGAGGCTGTGATAGAAGATAGAGTTTCCACTCTTCATTCATGAGTCTGCTTTTCCTCATTACAGAAAGCTCTGTGCAGATAAAACTTGACATGGAAACCTAACTTTGTTAGAAACCTGGAATATTGTCCTACTTGTACCTTGTTTTTAAATGTCAGCACAGGAATACTACAGTTCAACTCACAGAATGTGAGAACAGAATGAACAAAGCATCACATCTGACTCATTATTTGTTTTCTATCCTGTATCATAAAAAATGTAGATATCTGCCTTAAGTTTCTCTTTTCCTAGGAAAGCTGAACATGATTCAATAAAAATATAAGAGAACATGTGGATATTTACTGTGAATCAATATAATGGTGCCAACACATTGCAATGTTTAGTGAAACTAGAATAATGATGTCTAGCTACACAAAAGAATCAGAAATTTAAAAATCGATTAGAGGTGAGGATTGAGGGTAGGAAGGGGCTTATCCTGAGAACAGCCCTCAGAGGATGAGACTGAATTAGGAGGGACTTGTTCTCCCAGACCTGACAGATTGTTCAACACTTTCTGGGGAATCAGGAAACTAATGTCAACTCATGAGAAGACTGAAAGTTAGCTGAGGCCATATCCCTCCCTCTTTATACAGATTCAATACCTGTGGATCAAATCAGATGCAGATCTTTGATATTCGTATATTTGGAAAAATAATTGCATTTGAACTGAACACATACAGATGTTTTCTCTTGTCATTATGCCTTAAGCAATACAGCATAACAACATTCACATAGCATTTGCATTGTGTTAGATATTATAAGTAATCTAGAGATGATTAAAATATATAGGAGAATGTGCATTGGTTTTATGTCATTTTTATTTTGTTGTTTATTCAATTAATTTTAACTACTATTTAAAAACATACAATATTGTACCTGTTAAGGGAGTACCATGCAATGTTTCAGTACATGTATATATTGTGTAATGTTTAAATCAGATTAGATGTCATTTTATACAGGGAACTGGAGCATCTGCAGATTTTGAATCCAAGCGAGGAAGGGATGTCCAGGGACCAATTCCCTTGCTGATCCTAGAGATGCCTGTACTGTGGCCCACTGTACCTGGACTTGGGCTGCCAGTAGTATCAGAGCTTCTGTTTGTGCCTGTGTTCTTTGGGCAAAGAGGGAAGCTCTTTTCAGAACTGAATAGTGATTCACAAGCTTGTTCAAAATCTTCTTTTTCCTATTTCTCATAAACATAAATGTAGAATATTTTGCCATGCATAATATATTTTCAAAATTTTATGACTTAAGGAAAAGTTCACAGTGTTACAGTGAAAAAAGATAGCATATCAAATTCCATAAGCTATGAACTATCAAAATTGCTATCCGTCTCTTAAAAGTCAAGAATTAAAAAGTCTACGATAATATGAGAAAATAGGAATAAATCATTATCTTCAGATAGTGAGATAAAAGGCAGCTTAAGTTCCTTCTTTCTGGTATTCTGTATTTTTCAAAACCTCTACAACTATATTATCTAGATATGAAAATCTTTTAACATAAAGAAACATTGTTTTAAGGAATACATAAGACATCTTCTTTGCTATGCTCTAACCACCAAAAACAATGTCTTGATATTTTAATTTTTTTCCTTCTACTTTTTTTTAATATGCGTGTTTTTATGAATAAGTAAAATGGATATTATATCAACACAAGATGGCAGTAATAGCAGAAGAAAGGGAGGCTGCTCCCTTGCTGGAATGAAGTCACCTCATACCAGGCACAACCCAGAGAAAGTTTTGGGTCCTTCTATAGTAACAGAACAGGGCAGGTGGTGGATTGGCTGGTATAAAGTAGAAGAGGTCAGAAAATGGGCCAGGACAAAACCAGGTAGGCAAGGATATCTAGAAACCTCGGCCAGGGGGCACCTTTTCTGTGAAGAGCCTGGTTGTAAATATTTTACTTTGTGCCAGATGCTAATGTCTGTTGGGACTGTTCAACTCTGTTGTGGTCATCGACAATCATAAACACCATGTAAACAAAGAAATGTGTCTGTGTTATTTATGGATGCAAATCTGAACTTCATATCATGATTACATTGTAAGCAATATTCTTTGCCCCCCCCCCAACCCCCGCGCCATTTAAAAGCCTTTAGTTCATGGGCTACAAAACCAAATAGGCAAGATTTAAAGCTCTGGCTGCTTTTTGCTGACCTCTGCCCTAGGGCATCAGCTAAGGCAAACAAAGACAGTCTTTGCCTTGTGTCTTGTTTATGTGGCCTGGAATACAGGCAGGAACATAAAGCATTAGGAACCCACGCTAGGATATTAAGGAGGAAAGATCCAGAGCTGATGTGACCCTGGCTTAGTTTGGATAAGAGGTGAAGTCCTAAGGAAGGACCTAGAAAATCACTGGTAAGAGTAAAGCTTGATCCTAGACCAAGGGTTAAATGAACCCCTAACTTGAGTTTGTAGAGCTTCACTTTAGAACCTATAACAATCTTGTGAAAAGTGAATTACTCACAGGTCGAGTCAAACAGGTATGAATAGATGCAAACTCGTGCGTGGATGGCATTTCTTTCATCCAGATATTAGATCACATTGAATTTGAAATATATATATATATATATATTTTAGATACTTGATCAAATATCTGCATTAGTATTCTAAATGAAGTTCAGAAATTATTTAATTTAATTAGGCTAATGGAATAAAAAATAAAGTTTCTGCTTTCTAATGCAAAATGGCTCATGAAACTATTTTAAGACTAGACAGTTTGGATTTGTGATGTGCAATGAATAATTATTGATAATGCTAATAAAAATAATCATTTTTTTGTAGACCCTTCTTTGCCTTATTCTCCATCACCAACCCCAAAGGGTGGCTTTATTAAATATGGTGAAAGCAGCTATGCACTCATGAAATTGAAGTTAACATGGTATGATGCCGAGAAATATTGCAAGAATTCCGATTCTCTCATTTCTAGTATTCTGGATCCCTACAGCAATGCATTTGCATGGATGCAGATGCATGCGTTTAATGTACCTGTGTGGATTGCTCTGAACAGTAATTTGGTAAGATGTAACAACGTGTACAATCTGACATGATTGATAAAATTGTGGTTGTGGTTGGATGATTGTCTTTCTGTTCATTCTGTTGAACACTTATGTGAAAGAAACTATGGTGGGCAATGTGAATGGTACCAACATAAATAAGACCCAATCTTCTAAGGATCCCCTGCCTTTAAGGATCCAGTAGGCTAGTGATACAGCCTACTGTATCAGAAATCAAACTCAGAATGATCTGACCAATATTCAGTCTCTTCTTGCTTTTTAAAATTAAATTATATTCTGCATCTGAATAGTTTGCCCTACTTGCTTATTTCTTTCCAGTGTCATGATTACAACTCTGTCATGGAGATTAAAAAATCAGGTCAGGGCATAGTTACTAGGCGATGGGGACACTTTTGATTTTTTTTTTTTTATTGTTGTTGTTAAAAACTATTCTGGAATTGTTTTGGGTCCCATGGTTGTAGAACTTTCATCCATGTTGTGAGAAGTATTTCACTACAGTCAATTTTCTATAATCTTTCATAGAAAAGGGAGATTGTCAGTGAATAGGGCAGAGTGAGGGAAGGGGCCAGGAACTGAGTGGTGATAAGTTACCAAAATATTACTAAATGAGTCTTCTCTGATTCCTTGTGGTCCATCTGTCCTTCCATGTTGACCCAGCTAGTCAACCAGAAAACCTCTAAAATAGAGGAAATAGAGGTGTTAGTAGGTCATTAAGGGATAAGGTAAGTGCTAAAGAGAGCACCTACGAAGTGTTATTGGAGGAGTTGGGCCAGGGGAGAGGACCAAGAGGGCTTCTTAGGGAAAGTCAACCTTTTTAGATGTAGCGTAGGATGGTAGAACAGAAGAAATGTCAAGAAGAGGGAAAAGGATAAGAGGGAGGTGAAACTGGAAAGGAGATTGCTGTCAGATGTTATTAGCTTCTAGGGACTTGATGCGGAGATGGACATTTACACGTTATACAGTGACTGTTTCCTAAGCAGGGAAGTGAATGTTTAAAATCATCCATATGATTTTTGTGATTAAACTTAGGTGAGACATTTTTACATCTCTGTTGACTGTGTTTTTAATAATTAATCTGCTTGATAGATCGTTCATTTTCTTCTCATAGACATGGTCCTAGTTCTCTTGAGTTTAAACTAGGCTTTTCTTTGCTTTTAGAATAATTAGTTCTCCAAAATGCTAATATTTATGACTAAAGCAATACTGTTATTTCCCTTATGTCTGTGGAATCAATGATTTTCAGGGATTATTTGATTAAACATGGGAAAATACTAAAAAATTCTAATGAGATGACACATACTTTTAATTTTTTAATCATTGGATCTTTGACAATTGACTTGGTAAATTAAATAATGCAGTTAAAAGGGGGAAATGTTTGAAGTATTTTAAAAATTCAGTTATCTTTAGTTAATGTTATATGTTAGCTATAAAATACCTTAGACCGTTAAAAAGACATAAATAATATTTTTGATGCTATCATTTGTGACCATAAATTTGTCTGGGTAAATGTGATAAGAAATTGGGGCTAGGGTTGTGGCTCAGCAGTAGAGCCTATTGTGTGTGAGGCGCTGGGTTCAATTCTCAGCCCCGCATATAAATAAATAAAATAAAGGTCCATTGACAACTAAAAAAATTAAAAAATGTGATAAGAAATTAGTGTGCAAGTGAAATAAAACAGCCAGCTTTTTTTAAAAAATGGCACGATTCACATCATTAAAAGGACACCTAACTGGGAGTCAAGAGACCATGATGCCTCTATTATTTACCCACTTAAATTACCTTACCTGTCATTTATCACTGGTGCCGTTTCTAAAGCAGAACAATGAAAAGATCAGAAGAGATTAGTGCTTCTCTCAGGGGTCTATGAATCAATGAAAATTACTTAAAGTTTATTATAATAAATTCCAATAATGTAAGAAATATTTTATTTGTTATAATGATCAAACTTACACCCTAAAGACTTAAACAAAGAAAGTTTCATGGAAGAAGACAGATTTCTTTTTCAGTCAGTGTTTTTCAAAATAGCTTCAAAAGATGTATTCCTAGGAATCTCCAAGAAATAACCATTTTATAAGAAAGGATGCCTTTCCTGAATTTGAGTTGGTAGAAATGATTTATAATTTTCCCCCCCATATGTTCAAGACTCTTGGTCCAATAACAGCCTTGAATATACTTTTTCTTCATCTGATTCTTTTGGCATTTTCTAAATGAAGCAAGATGTCCGTGTTCATAGTTGTTTTTATTCTTGCAGACCAATAATGAATATGTTTGGACTGATAAATGGAGGATGAGGTACACTAATTGGGCAGCTGATGAGCCAAAGATGAAATCAGCATGTGTTTACCTGGATGTTGATGGTTACTGGAAGACATCATACTGCAACGAAAGTTTTTACTTTCTCTGCAAAAGATCAGATGGTAATTGAATATACAAAAACAGTTGGAAAATTTGGAATTTTCTGAATAACCTCCTACATACCACTGTCGATGTTATTAAATGATAGTGTGTCATGCATAACTAAAAATAAACTAAAACATTTTTCTTCACCTAACAAAAGACTGACTTGGTTGTCAACCTATACATACAGGTCAAAATAATGAAAAGAGGAAAAAATTTTCATTTCTAGAGTTTAATTGTTCTTTTTAAATCCCTGAATGTCTGCTATTGAGGTTGTCCTCTGAATCTATAATGACAGATCCCCTCCACAGTTGTATCATCATATCATAATGCATGCAGATTCACCAGAACTAATGATATCATGGACACAGCCCTAGAATTCTAACTACAGCATAAATTATATTACAAGGACCATTATTACAATTAAGAAGTTAGGGTTCCAGAAAAAAAAGAGTGACTTGAAAAAGGGAATTCCTTTATAAAAATTATTTTCTAAACTTTTAATATTACTATAGATATTTATAGATTTATACTCTTTAATTGTAAGTATGATTGATTCTCTGTCTCATAATGCATTCTGTTAAAATGTATTTAAAATGATAAGTGAAAAATGAAGAATAGAAATGGTGGAGCCATATGATGAGCACTAGAAGTTCCTTTTTTATTATGTTAGATGATAATAATTTTCCTTAGTTGTGAAAATATTATTCTCTATACTGTAGAAACTTCAGGTTTTGCTTTACATGTTTTTTTTTATTAATAGAAATACCTGCCACTGAACCCCCACAACTGCCTGGAAGATGTCCAGAGTCAGAGCACTCTGCATGGATTCCTTTCCATGGTCACTGCTACTATATTGAGTCTTCATTTACAAGGAACTGGGGTCAAGCTTCTCTGGAGTGTCTTCGAATGGGTAAGAGCCACATTTCCTAAAAGAAAGTCCCATAATTGTATAGAGTACAATGACATTAATAACATTATAAATTACAAATAAAAGGAATGTAAAATTAACTATTTATTTATTTAAAAAAATTTTCTCTTAGTTGTTGGTAGATCTTTATTTTATTTATTTATATATGGTGCTGAGAATCAAACCCATTGCCTCACACAGGCAAGGCAAGTGAACTACCACTGAGCCACACTCCCAGCCCACCGATTTATTTTTTTTTAATGATTTTTTGGATAACATAATGGTCCACATCATGTCCCTTAAATGTAATTTCTAATTTTGTAACTTTGAAATTTTAGGAAATGCAGATAAAAATCAATTATTTGTGGAACAAATCTTTCTGCCTCAGAGTTCTAAATTGTTTGGATGCGCATCCTCAGTTTTCCAGAATATGCTCAAACTCTTATCAGTAATTGACTGTTAATAGACAAGTTTTTACATTTGGCTATAATATTAATGAAGAAAAAAAAAGCAAAACAAAACTCAAATAGAAATGACATAGATGAATGATTTTCCTTCTGGGGAAAAAAAAGTCCAAGAAAAATAAAAGTTTTCAGGGTGCATTTAAAAGTCACTTAGTTAAATTTCCCTGAATATTTACTGATTTAACTTTGCTCCACTTTTATTGCCCCAACTGGGGGTTCTTCATCCAACAGAGGTATGTAAGAGTTAGGGTTATATTCTCATTTCCTTTTGTTTCATTCAAAAGTCAACCTTGACCTTTAATTTTAAATTCTGAGTGAGATGAAGTCTGATTTCTCAAATGTTGAGGCTCTGAAATAAGGTCATTTGTCTACAATTATCATCTTTTCCTGATTAAACTTTATCATTACAGAATGTCTTCATTGCTTCTAGTAATAATTTTTTGTTTTCTAAATGTCTAGGATTAGTATAGCTACTCTAGCTCTTTTTAAGTTATTGTTTGTATAGCCTATGCAAACTATTTGTGTCTTTGTATCTCCTTTTATTATTTATTTGCATCTTTCTAATTAATTAGCATTAATTTACTACCAGTCTCCAATTTTTCCATTAGTGTTTACTCCATTTAAAATCAGTGTAGTTATTGATAAGATTGGATTTGGTCTGCTATTTTGCCATTTTTTTGTATGTCTTATGCATTTTGATTTCCCTATTTCTCTATTACTGCCATTTTATGCTAAATAGATAATTTTTAATTTTTCATTTTAATTCCCTTGTTTCTTTTATTATATAGATAATTTCTAATTTATTATGGATCAACTTAAAAATTTTCAACTTTACATTGGGTTCATTAGGCTATAATTTCATTACATCAGGGAACATCTGTATATATTTTAGTTATTAGTGGTTGCCCAGGGAAGTGCAATTAACATCTTTATTAGCAACAGTCTAGATCAGATTCACATAAATTTCATTTAAATTGTATATAAGTTTTTATCTTACAAGTCTCCAGTCCCTCTGCCCTCCTTGTGCTGTTATTATCATATAAAAACACCTTTATACTTTGTAGCAACAACACAGATTGACAATTATTGCTGTATGTAGCTATATTTAAATTAGATGAAATACAAAGGAGTTATAAACAAAATATACATTTGTACCATCTTTTACATTTACCTATGTACTTAATTTTTCCTAGTGCTCTTTATTTCTTCTTGTGGATTTGAATTTCACAAAGCTTTTATATTTCAGACCAAAGGATCCCTTTTTTTAAAAAATAGCATTATAGTTATGCATAGCAGTTGGGTTCATTCTGACAAAGTCATACATGCAAGGAATTTGTTTTTAATCCCCATTCCTCTGCCTTTCCCTCTTCTCCTTCCTCTATTGATCTTCTTTTCAATCCTTTATTTATTTTTTGATTGGTGAAATTCCCTTTGGTACATTTATATATGAACATAACCATGTTAAATTCATCCTATATTTCCTGTCCTTCTGCCTCCCTCATGTTCTCCACCTTCTACTCCACTGATCTTCCCTTTATCTTTATATCTAAATCCACCCCCACCTCTTTCTTTCCCTTATTTTGCTCTAACTTCCACATATGAGAGAAAACATTTGCCCCTTGATTTTCTGAGTCTGGTTTAGTTCACTTAGCATGATGCTTTCCATTCAGAAGGATCCTCTTTAGTATCTCATAGTGAAAAGTTCTATTTATTTATTTATTGGTTTGTTTATTTATTTATTGGTACTGGGGGTTGAACCCAGGAGTGCTTTACCACTGAGCTATATTTCCAGTCATTTTTATTTTTTATATTGAGATAAGGTCTCACTAAGTTGCTGAAGGTCTTGCTAAGTTGCTGAAGATGGCCTTGAATTTGTGATCCTCCTGCATCAGCCTCCAGAGTCACTGGGATTACAGGCATATGCCACCATGCCTGGTTCTTCATTAAAACAAAACAAGACAAAGCAAGCCAGGAATGTTTTAATATTTCCTTGTTTTATTTTTCAGTACTATGGACTAAGAATTGAACCCAGGGCACTTACCACTGAGTTACATTGCCAGCTTCCTTTTTATGTTTTATTTTGGGACAGAACCTTACCAATTTGCTGAGACTGGCCTTGAACTTTTGATCCTTCTGCCTCAGCTTCCTGAGTCCTTGAGATTTTTGAAATATAGTTTTGCTGGATAGAAAATTTCTCATTTTCTCAATTAGCCTTTTGACTATTTCCTCTGACAGCTTTCTAGCTTCCATGGTTTCTGATGAGAAATCAGTGTTAAGATATCTGGTGGGCTAGGGACATGGTTGAGTACTTGCCTATCATGTGTGAGGCCCAGGGGTCAATCTTCTGTATAGAAAAGAAAAAAAAAAAATCTCTGTATGTGTTGAATCATGTCCTTCTTGCTAGTTTCACGATGCTCAGTCTTTTGACAGTTTGATTATGATGTACATAGAAGTGGATTTCCTAGACATGGTACACACAGATGTTTCATAGTGCCTAGAACTAATTAAGCCTCGCAGGTTTTGCTGAGGGGATCTGTGTGTGCTGGGATGTGCTTTCAACATCCATCCAAGCTATTTAAAACTCTGCATTAGCCTTCACTTCCTGCTTTTGTAAAGCCTCAAGATTAGATGGAAGTGAAAACTTAAGACCTTTTCTTATCTTTCTCAGGCATGCACACAGCCCTGAGAACATGCACACCCAATGCGTGTCTGTGACCTTTTAGTTCCCTACAAATGTGTCAATACTTTTAAAATCCCCTGTGGATATTTTATTCTCTAGCTCTTGCTTTTAATTTTTTGTTAGCTTATTGTTTGCCCCTACTCTTATCAATGTCTTAGGCAATTGCCACTGATAGTTTTTTTTTTTTAAAAAAAACCTCATGTTCCCAGGAAACAAGTGACAATAAGTGATCTCTGAATAAGGTCAAATAAGGATACAATTTTCAAGTAGAGTTTTCTAGGAAATTATCAGACAGGATAAATAAGGGACATTCTTTGAGAATGCAGCTTGGAAAGGGCTCCAATCCCATTCTCATTCTTTTAGTGCTTGTAAGCTGCTGATTTTTACTGTGGTTGTAGGGTTGTTGGTGTTTAAGGTCACTACAGACCTTAATGGCAATGGTATTAGGACAAGTGAAAACACCACAAAGCTTACTGTCATTACCAAGATCTAATAATTTTCTTACATAAAATGCAAGCCTCTGTCTAATTTTCAGCATTCTGAAAAAGTTGATTTTGACAAAAGTTGCTTTTGACAAATTTGTTGTCATTCCCAGTGTTTTTGTAAAGGAAATGATTTTTAGAGGTCCTTACCCTGCTCTGCTTTGGAGTTTTAAAATTAAAAAAAGTTTTCTTTCATGTTGTTAAACATTTTAAAATTTTTGTAATGAATGTATAGGAACTTTGTTTTCATTTTCAGGTAACTGTATTATCTGGTCAAAAAGATGAATGATCTTCATTCATCAAAGTATGTCACAAGTATTTTTAATGGCTAATGTCAATAAAATATATTTAAGATGAATTATAAAATAATGCAAAAAATTAAAAAAAAATAAAATAAAAACCAAGAGAACAACTCAGGACCCAGTAGAATGAGGTGTAGGTGTATGATTTATTCAGGGTGCCTTAGTTGTACCATAACTTAATGCCCTACTAGTGTGAGGATCTTAGCAAATTACTTATCCTCTGTACTTTATTTTCCTTATCTACAAAATGGGGTATTAATAGTACCTACTTAATGAGGCCTTGTGAAATTTCATGAGATAATGCTTCTAAAGTCCAAAACAAAATGTCTGTCATTAAATGCTTAAAGTATACTAGTTATTATTATAAATCTATAGATTACTACTGTAAAATCTAATGTTGACCATTCATCGTGAGTTATTAATTTCAGCTTGTCTGGTGTTCCACTTTGCTCTCTGTTCTTCCTTTGAACTGTCCTATGGGTGACATTCATGAATGAAACTGGAATAATACTCCTATAATACATTGCATCATTCTGAGCCTCAAAAAATGTTCTTTATTACCACATTACTCTAAATACCAATCTTCTGCCATCTGCAGACAGTCCTAACCCATATCTCTGATCCTAAAGAAGTTCTGTGCTTCCCTCCTTCTTTGCCTTTCCTCTTATTATTTCTTCCTGGAATCATTTTTTGTCCCTTGTACGTAAAATGCTGCACTCCTATCTTCTTAAATTCTATTTTTTTTTCCATCCTGCTTTTTAGTTGCTCCACCACCTGGAGTGGGTATTTGATGAGGCTGAAGCATATTGCACTGATTTTTTTTCTCCTATTACATTCCTTTGTACTCTGAATTTGTAACTGGTCCCTGACCCATAACTTTATTGACTTATTCTATGTCTTCCTCATGTTTGCAGGTACTAGTCCAATGCTTTTACACAAATGATGTTTTAAAAGCCACATTTTCCAGAATGGAAATTGAAGAAAACAAAATGCTCACTCTTTGAAATTCTTCCTCTTTAGTGGATGAAGATTTTTTTTATTGGGTTGATTTTTTATTGCCCCCATTAATACTGTTTATAAAATTATTTTCAGCTACTTAAAGTTTCATATATTTCCTTTTATCCCTTGCAGGTTCCACTCTGGTTTCCATTGAAAATGCTGCTGAATCCAGTTTTCTGTCATATCGGGTTGAACCTCTTAAAAGTAAAACCAATTTTTGGATAGGACTGTTCAGAAATGTTGAAGGTAACTTTTGCAGAACTCTTATTTACTTGCAAATAGTTCAGAATGTTGTATGTATAAAAACAAGCTTCAGTTTTGGAAAGTCTTGCCTTAAATAATGCTTAATTTGTGATGAGTTTGAAAATTCAAACTCTCATAATTATTTGAGATAAGAACCTAAAGTTCTTATCATATTATACCATCTTCATAGTTGCTAATTAAAAAATATATTCTCTAGCTAAGTTTAAGAAGGTTTAAAGAACATTTTTTTTCCAAAATAAAAAAGCCAGGAAGGATAGGCATAAATAGTTGTGCTAATTAGAAGAATGTTCTCAACTCAAGCTATATAATAAACATATTCTCCGTGCATGGTTTATTTCATTATAATAATCATAGTTTGCCTGTTTAGTTGTGAACAGTTATTGATTCTAGTATAAAATAATATGCTTAGAAATTCTGCATAGTAAACTGAACTTGTTTTGAGATGGGTTATTTTTAGCTTCTGTTTTTATTGGTTTTATTTGGTGATCAGGGATGTGGCTCTGGATAAACAACAATCCAGTTTCCTTTGTCAACTGGAATACTGGAGATCCCTCTGGTGAACGGAATGATTGTGTAGCTGTAGACGCATCTTCTGGGTTTTGGAATAATATTCACTGTTCTTCCTACAAAGGATATATTTGTAAAAGACCAAAAAGTAAGTAAGAATCTTATCATGTGGCAAATATGTTCATGGGCCAGTTTTTTTCATATAGTAAGATGGGATTATAACTGATTACAGATCCATTGCAAGCTTTCTCCCATTATCAGTGAAAAATCCATTCTGCTGTGGTGATCATTTGCTGCCCAGCTGTGAGTGAGTGAACAGTATTCTGTCTGCTAGCCGACAGAGTAATTTTGGTTTCTCAATATGTTTATAATGGATATTCATGCATATGGATTTGCAAAATTGCAATCGATTTGGACAGCCCATTTAAAAAGCCCTTACTGCACAGGGGGAAAGGGGTGAAGTAGTGACCAGTCCAAAACAGAAGAGGCCGGGACTCTAAAGAGAAAACAGAATTGATCATGGAGGAAGTCATCTAAGACCAGCTCAATCTCCCTCTGAGATAGAGTGGAAGACTGTGGAAGGAATGGAATTGAAGAAATTAATAGTTAATTGTTCACCACGTGTCACTGTCTGGACTTCAATAATATTTTGATGCCATTCCACCTAGCATAATATCCTTCTGAGAGAGAAAATGATTAGTTAGATAGAGGTTTAAGTACACGAATTAGATACACTAATTCTGTCTCCTTGGTAGGTTTTTCCTCTGGGAATGTTGGGTTTGCATCCTGGGGTCCAAGTTTGCCTTATTTTACTTTTCATTCAAATGCCTTATGATGCCTTAGGCTTCAGTAGGCTGACTTAAAAATTCTTAGCTTAGGATATTTTATTTATGGGTAGATTTGGTAGGTTTTTTAAAAAAGTATTAGTGCTCAAATACAAGTTGGAGGATCACATTTTCAGATCTTCTAATCTGTGTTCAGAATTACCATTTATCTATAGGATGCTGCTATAGCATAAATAGACAAAAGAATAAATGGAGATAGTTTTTTTATATCTGTATCTCTCTCTCTCTATCCTATCCTATCTATCCCATCCATCCATCCATCCATGTCATACCATTTCACCAAATAATGGAGGATTCCATGTATCACGAGCCAAATGAAAATTGTTATCTACATGCAGTTACTATGGATTTTTATAAATAGTCTTTAATTTTTTTTACAGTTGTTGATGCTGAACCTACTCATACATTAACGACAACAAAAGGTAAGAAAACTATGATACAGGTTAGTTTAAAAGCCATAATAATTACTTCCTACTCTTCTTGCATTTTAAGTAAAATTGTTTTAATTAACTAGCCTTTCTCATTATGTCATCAACCTACTTTGATTGATATTTTAGTAAAATAGGATTGGGAGTCATGTTGGTATTTTTACACTAAGAAGTTATTGAAGACATCATTGACTCTATTACAAAGAATTTATGAGAACCACTGGAGGAAATTTGAAATTTCTCAATGCTTGTATTTTTTTTTTTTTTTTTTGGTGATAGTGGTACTGGGGATCAAACCCAGGGCCTTGGATATACTAGGCAAGTACTACATCACCAGGCCTTTAAAATTTTTTTTTTTTTTTTATTTTGAGACAGAGTCTTGTTAAGTTGCCCAGACTAGGTGGGATTACAGATGTACACTACCACACCTGGCTAATCTTTTCTTTTTATAGCAAATTTCTTTTGTGTTTTTGTCTTAACTTTTATAGACCACTTGAACCTAGGTAATTAATCCTATTTTACTCATTTTATTGACTGCTAAAAAAAGCTCAAGATGAAATTTATTGCCCTCCTCTAATGTCCTTATTATCCTCATGAGTGCTATTTGTGTACTAATTATATTCATGAATTTAAATCTCCACTATTCTTAGATTTTTCCTAAATTTTTAATTTATTTTAAATAACCATTATTATTGTATTATTTTATCTTCTTATAATGTGTTTGTCTTAAATTACTTGGAAATAAAATGTGTGTGTGTTTATAATTTTTAAAATATTGGTTAGTTAGCTCAGTGTTATGACATACAACATTCCTGCAACTGAATCATAACATTTTAAATTATCCTCTATATCTTGCTGATTTTGTTTTTATGCCTTGCATTTCTGCTTGATAAATATCACTTGAAAGAATATTCATGTATTTTAGTTTTTCAACAAGGAAAGTTGTATTGTGTGCTATCGCTGCTCTCTCTCTTCACTTGTTTCCTAATGATTTTAGTTATACCTGACTCAAGGAAGATGGAACCTTCCAAACCGTCTTCCAACGTGGCAGGAGCTGTGGTCTTTGTGATCCTCCTGATTCTAGTGGGTGCTGGCATTGCTGCCTATTTCTTGCATAAGAAAAGACGTGTGCACCTACCTCAACAGGGCACCTTTGAGAACACTCTGTATTTTAACAGTCAATCGAGCCCAGGAACCAGTGATATGAAAGATCTCATGAGCAACATTGAACAGAATGAACACGTGGTCATCTAGTATTATAATGTGATTTTGTTATGTTTGAATTTAAAAAAATTTGTTACTAAAGTTTTAAATTCTTTAATTCAATGTGATTGATCCTTTTAAAAATGTGTACTGTATTATAATAAATAGTCTGTTCTTTTTCTTTGCCTAATTGAAGAAATAATTGCTCGTTTTCTAGCCTGGCACTATGTTTTCACCAAAGAGGGATAATAATGTTGATTACCACTGTTTGAAATATTTTAGGCGAATATACAGCACTATGATGCTTATGAATCATCAATGGGTAGCTAGGATCAACTCATGCAGATTACAAGAGCTCTAGAAATAACCAACTAAGCCTCTTGAAATATTTCAAGGAGCTCCCCAAAATATGCTCCCACTGAATTGTAATCCAACAACTAGAAGACCATTTCAAAAACAGTTCAAATGACCTCAGGTGGAATAAAAATTTAGTCAGTTTTCACTTTTACGAGTCTTGATTTCACTCCAATAATTTAGAAGTTATTTGTCCACATGCAGAAGAATAAAGTGGTCAAGAATCTTGTTTCCCCAGCCAAGATTTTACAAAAGTTGTTCTTTGTACTGTTATATGTATATCAGGAGGGCAAAGATGTGAAAAATGTAAATTTGCATAACTGGATGTACTTGGATTATGTGAAATAAACATTAAAGATAAGGTCTATTTTTAATAGATTTGCATTTTGGTGCTCTTGTTAAGTGTAAATTTGCTTTAAAATGAGGTTTATTTACTTTAAATTTTACTCTTAAAATAAATGATGTTATCAGCAGAAGAATTCTTTAAATTGAATTCTTTATCTGTTTGGAAAAGGTATGTTGCTAAAACACTGTGGAATATGAGGTTTTCACCATACTCACCAGCACATTTTTCCCCCCCTCGATATTCCCTGTATCATTGATTCCACTCAGAATTCAACAAAGGTGCTGTTATTGAGAATTAAAATACTAAAGAATCATTTTCTCCCTTTAGATTTTTTTTTTTGCTCAAGAGTTTGGACATAAATATGTACATTGTGAAATATATCATAGATTTCACATCCACACATGGTACTCTCCTGCCCACTCATCCTTTTACTTTCTCAAGGTTTCACTCGTGGGCAGGAGTTCTTTACCCAGGACCTCTGGACAGGACTCCTTAGATGGCATTAAGGAGGCAGTGGGGGGGATGCAAACACGTTTATTCACATTTGTGCCCTTTTTTTTGAGGGGGTGATGTGGATAGCTATATTCTCAAGAAAGTCCAAAATTCAAAAATAGATTCAGAAGCAACCAATTGAGTAGGGGGCTATGACGGAGTTTCTAATACCCCAACTTATAGGTGAGAAGTAAGCAAGTATGGAAAAGGTGCTTGGGCTCAAACAACTCCCTTTTATACAACTAACAGAAAACATCTTGCTTTTCATTTTCTTGGTAAAAACAAGGCATGTTCTGCTTGAAGAATTCCAACAGAAATAATGGCTACAGAGTCAAAGCAGTACTTGGTGAATTATACTAAGGAAATCACTTTCTGTGTGTGTGTGTGTGTGTGTGTGTGTATGTGTGTGTGTGTATGTGTGTGTTCTGCCCTCAAGCTGCATGAGAGAATTAGAAATATGGAATGGGAGACATACACAAGTGAGGCTGGTTTGCAAATTCTGTAGGCAAGTCTTTTCATTGTAATTCACAGAAAATACTTTGGACTTCACACAATATATATCTCAGAGTCAAATATCTTATCATTTGGAGAAACAGTTTGACAGGGTTGCTGAGTATTGTATTTCACAATCTCACATTACCCATTCTGACATATGTATCCAAGTCACATGTATCTACAGACCTATCCAAACGTAATGCTAAAGCGCCAACAATATATTTTGGGAGAAGGTATTGGGTGGAGAAGACCAGTCTTTGCTTTTGGTCATTTTAGTTTTTTTGTGTTTGTTTTTGTTGTTGTTAACTGGAAGTTCTCTCTGGGGATTGGATATTATTTGTGTGCTGTTGCTGTCCTCACTGGCTTTAAAACTTGGATAAGGTTTTTATCAGAAATCAATAGCTCGAAGATTTTTGAGAATATTTTTTCCTGGTTGAACTCAATGTGAAAAGTCTGTTATTTGAACTCTAAAAATAAAGGTGGTATCCATAGAGGCTGGAAGACTCTTGACTCATCCATTTTTCAGTATTCACTCACATATCTGTTTACATTTTTATCCATTATTTTATCAAATATTTCTTGAGTGTCTGATATATATATGTGGCAGGAATCAAGCTAGCCTCTATAGATTCAAATATGGGTAAGAAGCATAAGAAGAGCAGTCTAGTGGTGGTCCAGACACGAGCAGATCATTTTGAAACAATATGGTAGAGATGCTAGAACATGCCAAAGGTATAAATGGAGCAGTGAGATAGATAGACGTGGTTGCCATCAGGGCAAAGCCACGTTTTGTGGGCCAGAATCACAGGACCAAATATCTGCCAGGCTGGGTTTCAATCTTGCTTTGGTCCCATCCTTTCGATGTCCTTGTTCCTCCCTTTTGGAATGGAGTGTTTGTGCTGTGCCATTGTATATCAGATATATGTAACCGGCTTTTGATTTTTCAGAAGCTTATTAGCCAAGAGTTTGTCCTGAGTCTTTTTCTTCAGTTTTTAAAAATTTACTAATTATCATTCCTTTAAGGATTTTTCTTTGCCTTGAGTCTTGAAAGAGTCTTTAGACTTAGATTTTTGAGCATTGCTTAAACTGCTAAGTCTATGGGAATTCTTGGAGAGGGACTAAATACATTTTGTACTGTGAATGGACATAAGCTTTGGGGAGCCAAAGGCAGTTTGTTATGGTTTGGATCCGTGAAGCTTATGTATTAGGCAATGCAGGAATGTTCAGAGGTGAAATGATTAGATTTTGAAAAGTGTAACCACATTGGTGGGTCAATCCATTTGATGGGTTAATAATTTAAATGGACTACCAGGTGGTAACTGAATGTAAGTGAAGCATGACTGGAGGAAATAAGTCACCGGGACATAGTCTGCACTCTATTTGCCCTTGGCCTTTTCCTCCTCTGCCTCCCAGACGCCACATGCTGAGCAGCTTTCTTCCGCCACGCCCTCACACCATGATGTTCTACCTCACATGAGACCTAGAACAACGGATTTGGCTGGCTATGGACTGAACTTTTGAAACCATGAGTCCAAATAAATTTATCTTCCCCTATTTTCTCTTATCAGGTATTTTAGTTGCAGTGAAGAAAAGCTAACATACCTAGTCTTTCCAGAAAGACAGGAATTCATTCAGAAGGGTGGTACCTCCATTACCTAACCACCTCCTCATAGTCCCCACCTTTTAATAGTCTTACAATTTTTAATACCATTACATTAGAGACCAAGATTCTAGCTCATGAATTTTTGGGAGATGTACCATATCCAAACCATAGCAATATGAGTTTTTTTGTGAGGTTGTATTCTGTGTCGAAATAAGCTTGAAAATTAGTTCTTTTTCCCCCCAATATTATTTATACAATTTACTTATTTTCATTAACTAAATTATTGTATAATCTAAGAGTCTCTTCATTCATTTGAAATTTATCTCTCCTTTTAATTACTTCTTTGGGAGGGTAAAAAAATCCTCTTGTTAATATTTCTTTCTTGATCTCAGAATAATCTCTATTGGTTTCATGACTATTTGCTTTGTTTCATGATCCCATTAAAGTTATTTGTATTTTCTCCTAATTCTTTAATAAATTTTAAAATGATCAATCAAGGTTATACTTTTCACACATCTAAACCTTCAGTCTGCCAGTATCTATTGAAGAATTTCTCAATTTTTTTAATTGAAATTTTCCAAGTGAAAGTTAAAAATTGTATATTTGCCAGAACTCTAGTAACACACAAAAATAGAGAAATTGAAATTATAAATGCAATTATAGTGGTTGTACAATTGTTCATGCTATTACTTAGACCTTATGCTTTAAGTAGGCAGTGCTGATAATTGAAATTTCAACTTATAGTTTTTCAGACTCTGGTGGTAGAAAAAAGTTTGTATAGACTAGATCAGGTTTCATATATTTCTAACCTTGTTTCTCCTCTAATTCCTATCTGCTTTGGTCCTGAGTATATCAGGGTACACTAATACTCCATAAAATCTGGCTCTCAACCTTCCTGTCAGCCTGGGTAGTTTTGCACATGGGGTGACAGGTATATTCCGAATAGAAACTATTTGGGAGGTGGCATTTTTTTTCCTTTTATTTTATTTATTTTTTATTTTTTTTAGTCATACATGACAGCAGAATGTATTTTGACATATAATATGTACATGGAATGTACATACATCAATCATAATGTCTATTCTATTCTGCTGCCCTTTGGGAGGTGGCATTTTGATGTGTCCCTTTCACTCGGCTGAGATCTGGTACTGTTATCCAAACGTAAATCTAAGTGCTCAGTGAAGAGATGTCACAGAAGTAGTTAAAGTCCCTAATCCATCGACTTTCCATTCAAAATATTATCCTGAGTGGGCCTGAGTTAATCAGTTGGAAGGGAAACTATCCTGCATGGGTCTGACTTAATCTGTCGAATTACCTTAAAATCAGGCTTTGGCTTTTCTTGGGGAAAAGCAAGGGAAGGAGAGACTCTTGACTGTAGAGTCCAACTTTGGCCTGTGAGACTCTGGCCGCCTCATCTTCCCTTTCTGATGGCCCATGTTATGGACTTCAGACTTGCTTAGCCAGTATTATGGTTTGGATTTGGAATGTTTCCCCCAAAGTTCATGTCTTGGGCAATACAGCAATGTTCAGAGCTGAAAAGATTATATGGCAAGAGCTACAACCTCTTCCATGGATTAATCCATTTGATGGATTAATCATTTGAATGGACTACTGGGTGGTAACTGTAGGTAGGTGAGGCATGGCTAGAGGAAGTAGGTCACTGCCGCAGTCCGGCTGCAGCAAAATAACCGGCAATAACTGTAATATAAATAATGTACAGCAATAACTGTACATTGATACAGCAGGAGTGGGAGCCATTTATTGTAGGACAGGAGGGGTATATATACATTACACACAGCTTATCTTAATTAACATAAACTAGATACAGCAGTC